GCGGAGCATTGTTGAAGCCACAGGAAGGTGTTTCAATGATAGTGGTTTAAGGTTTAAACGAGGGGTTGGCCCCACCCTGCCAGATCGTCTCAGTTTGGGAGATGCCTTCCGAAATGTGCGTTACCAGCATGGCAATCCGTGCTCAGCTGGCACACAAGCGCTTGCACTGCCTCCTGTTGCGGCCTGACAAATCTAGGGCACACAAGGGAGTCTTCCGATGGTGCCTGCGCTTAGCGCTCGCGCTCAAGGAGAGGAAAAGTGCGAAAGGGGCACGTTGTTCCTCGCCATGGGTCAATGGTTCTTCGGCCATCGGCCAAAGCGAACTTTGGGAGGTGCCAGCGTCGCATCACTGCACGCAGTCATTTCAGCATTGTCACAGGTATGTGGCCTGCTTGGTGCAGCTATTTCGTGTCATTGCTTGGATTAACTTCTTCAATTTGCAGTTCATTGGCCGGGCGCATGATAAGCACGTTTTATCCGACTCGTGGTACGGCATCATTTTTGGCAGTTGCCATGGCGTCTTGGTGCAGAATTTGGGCACTGGAAGTTTGCCAGGACTTCATTCGCGCAGACTTTCGGGAGAAAGTTGGCAGCGTTCTGGCCAAGGCAGGGTTGCAATGCTTCGACAACAAGGAAGGGGGGGAGGTTGCCGCCGATTTGCTTGGACACATGCGGCCCACGGGGAAACCACTTGACACAAGCGCACGGTGCAGTTCGATGAACGCCTTGCCAAGTTTTGTGTGTGTGTGTGTGTGATTGCTCCTAGACATCCGCAAAGCGGGCACCTGGACCCTCAAACTGCCAAACCAAAAGGATATGACTCCATCATTTTGGGGCAAACAGTATAGCTGTTTCGCGTTTGAGGGTGCAGGCGTGTGTGCCTGAAAGTTTGGTTCAGGCCATGAAGGGTGAGGAGACGGCCAACTTCGAGCTCGTGCTGGTGAAGAAGGACTTGGTAACATTGGCCGCTTGCATGGGATGGCTCAAAACAGGCTAAAGGATATACAACAGATGCCAGGAGAAACAAACACATCGCACACAGTTGGAGGAGGAACATCAGGAACTTGACAAATGTGCTTCTTGCACTCAGAGGTTTGCATGTCAATATTTGAAGGCAACCCAAACTAGGTATGCGCCGTGGTTTTGTCAGATTCCTTTTGAGAGGGACAGCTAATACAGCCTGCTTACATGAGCCACGAGGGCAAAATTACCCTCACCTATATGTTTGAGGTGCCTGGGATCCCTTATAGGTGCATTTTGCCGATTGGCACACATCAAGGGAGATTCCTTAAACTTGATTGGATTTGGCAAGTTTATCCTTGATGATCACCAGCTAAAGGGACGCCGCTGGTGATTTGTGAGCACGCTCGCGATGATGGCGGTCGCACTTGGTCTTCGCCTAACTTCCCGATTTGTTTGCGGTTCCTCTTTCTGCAATATGCAAGAACAATATAATTAATACGTAAAACATTCTCCAATCCGAACAACTGAAAAGCCCCCCCCCCCCGTCCCCCGCGATGCAAAGCGCCCAAATTATGCCCACAACCTGCCGCAAGAAAATCATTCTCCTTCGTTTGTGTTTTATACGCATGTCAAGGCACCCATACCTAAACCAATACGCAGACACAATTACTTGAAACACCAGGGGCAATGCTTGTTCCGCTTTCACTCGATGCATCATCTTCACGATGTGGATGTGGTTTGAGCTGCAAGGTGTGACAAACAAACGGTTCAAGTGGCAGGCTTCTCGGCTTCTCTGCTGGCAAGCAACTGGCTCCCCCCGCTTGTAATTTACTGGTTCGAGCTGGCAGGAGGCCGAGGACATCGAGCTGCTGCTGAACGCAACGCCTCGGAAGAACGCCCAGGGCGACGTCACGGGCGCGGTGTGTGTGGGCCAGGACGGCTGAATCGACTCGCGTCGATCCATCCCACCCGCCTCAAAGGTTTTGAAACTAGCATGTTTCAAAGGAAGCCGAAAGGAAACCAAGTGCTTCTGAGTTCTCTAACCTTAGGAAGCAGACCCATGTTTGAGTAATGGCCAGGTAATTTGCAATCCCCCTGTCTCTGCCCAGGCTCCTGTGCTTAAGTGCGGCATTTGTATTTGATGCAACTTCGTGAGCAACTCTCCATGGGGGTGGTCACGCGCCGCAGATGGCTGTGTAGCAAAATGTGATTGACCACTATTGGACTTGAGTTGTGTTGATACCCAGTGATTCTGATTTGATCAGGGTAAGCATCGGGATGCAGCATTAGAGGTGTGATGCGGACACTTTCGGCCTCTAAGTGGCCCCACATAGCGATTCTGCTGTCATTTCAGGACCCGTCATCTCTGTCAGCAATCAATGAATCAGACATAAACATTGGGCATATGTTCTTTGGGTCATCTTTGAGCTGTCTTGGCTTCTAGTGCATGTGGCCAGCAAATCCGCTAGCCGCGAGTTGCAGGAGTGGGCTGCTGCTAGACATGTGTGGGACACCATTGTAGTTTCTTAGGGCCACGGCTTCTGGACATTCCAAACGCAATGACTTCACAAGAAGGAGGCTGGCATTTCCCCGACAAAACGCGCTTTAAAGTGCAACATGACGCATGTGTTGGTTCCGTCTCCAGCCGAATGGGAGGAGATCTCGACAGCGCGGAAGGCTATGAATGCGGCGCAGCAGGCCTGGGGCTTGGAAGGATCCAGCATTCGCCAGGCCACCGAGGTCTTGGTGGATCTTTCGTACTCACATGTGCCATGTCAAAAGTGTTGTGTACGAAATGTCCCTTTGTCAGTCTCCCACTGCCTGCCTGTTGGATACCATTAGTTTTGGAATGGACCCGGCAAACGGATTGCACTGGCTGCCAAGTGCAGAGTATATGCCGTGCTTGGCTGCACGAAGCCGCATGTTCAAAGCAAGTTGTTGGCAAGATTGTGGCAACCATTGCTTGCCGCGGCTACATGGATGTGTGGATGCCAGATGCCTTGATGCTACTAACGGCATTCCCAAGTGCATGTGTCAGCCTGACCGATGTTGAGGTGGCGGATGACCTGACGACGCTTATCGACACAGCGAATGCACCCATTTTTGGCATCAACGTCCATGGAAGAGCCAGCCACCTGGATTGTTGCAGTTGAGTGTTGGCTTCCAAAACTACTTGGGTCTTGTCAAGAGGGGAACGATCCCGCCAATGACTGCGCTGGGCTTTGTTTGCATAGCTTTTGGAAACATGTTTGTTCAGGTGCCTTGGACACCTTCGGCCAACACGAAAGGAGCACCTTTTCTCCAGTCGATCTTGGGTGCAATGTTCGGGCTCTTGAACGCCCACCCTCTAATAATTCATTTCTTGACTTGCGAGCAGTGTACTTGGAGGATTTTGAAAAAGGTCGTAGGAGGGTTTCCTTGAAGTGAGCCAGGCTTTCCGTCCTCGCTTTTTCATCAACAAACATGCAATGTGGGCATCTGTGCCCCTTGTTCCACGCAGCCCCGCGAGCCCTGCGATCCTTCAGGTGGTGGAGTGGAATCGCAAGGTCGCCACGCTCACAGGCTTCACTAAGCAAGAGGTGCCACGCCCCCACGCCCCCACCGCCTCTCTTGCTGGGAGTGGTTTTACGATGCAGGGGAAGGGTAAGCAGGGTGGCATGTACATGGTGGAAGCCTAGCCCCTGTACCAAGAGAGCAGAGTTGTCCGATTTGGTCGTATTGCATTTGGAGTGCTCAATGCTGGGGAAAGGGCTTATTGACGTTTCTGTCGCAGTATGTCACAATCCGTGTTTGCAGCATGTACTGCAGCGCTTCAACTAGAAGCGCTGAAGTTGTATGTGTTCTTTATTGTTGTGCCTCCTGCGCGCCATCCTTGCACTCGCCGTGCACCAACTCCCAAAGATTGATACCGGAGCATCGGGACCTACGCAAGGTGACCACACTTTAACCAGTACATAGAACATGGGTGTGTGCTTCCCTTTTGGGAGTGCCAGTGGGAATTCAAAAAGGAAACCACCACTTGTGGGCTCACACACACACACACGTTGCCAATGCCAGACGCCTGCTGCCTGGCTCAGCGGGAAGCGTAGGATGGACCGCGGCAAGCCCAGCGCGCCGGCTGCGTCGGGCTGAGTGCAGCACCTCCCGCATTGCGCCACTTGGCCAGGGAGATGTGACAATGTGGCTGTGGGTCAAAAATGGGTACGCTAATGGAACCCTGATAAGTGGAAAAATGGACCAAAACCTGCGGTGCCCTGGTGCTTTAATTTTGACCCATACCCATGTGAAGTTGGGTTTTGCCAGGTTTGAGAAGTGAGGCGAGCCTCCGAACAAGTATCAAGGCCACTTACCCTGTGCCATTGGAGAAACCAGCAAAATGTGTGGGAGCTTGTGCTTGTACCGGTCAGATGAGGCCGTAGGCATGGCCAGGAAGCACAGACTTGCAAACAAACACAGGGACGCTCAAGAAGCATTTGCAACGTGCACGCTGGCTCGATGTTGCTTCAGGCTTGCTATTTTGGGCTTGGTACAGACTTTGCAAGCTATGAAAGCCCACTTGGCACCACATAGTAAGTGAGTTGGAAGATGTCAGTACCTGGCAGCAAGCAACATTATTATTTTCTCCTGCCACGTTTGGCCCATGACTTGGTTTCCTTTCATCACCCAGGTTCTTTTTCGTTTGACAGCTGAGTGCTTCGCTGGTCAGGGTGCTGGCAGCCCCGTTGGCTCCTGGAACCTCGCGGCTTGGGCAGGTGCTTGGAGGGATGCGGGGCATGCAACCGGCCATGGCCGCTGTTTCGAAGAGTGGGAACTTAGATTTCGGTCATATCCGGTATCATGTTCCAGGAGTACAAAAGCAAAAGAGGAATCAGACAAGTTGGAATGCTACTAAGAGCAAAGCTGGTTGAGCGTTTGTTCAACCCCTATCCGGCAGTAGGCATGAGGCCCCAACATGAAGCTTGTGTGATGTGCCCCGTGGAGGCTCTCAACTTTTTCATCGACGCCGAACCAGCTTTGCTGGTTATGTCGTTTTTTTTCTCTTTTTTTTTCTGGGCTTGGCATATCGCAAGTGGGCCAATGGTCAGGTACGCCTCAATTGCTGGCCTGGAGTAGTGGCTTGGGAATCTGCACCCTGGTTCTTGTAGCCCCCTAAGCTCCAATCCATGGGCCATGTCAGTAGGTTCGGCTACCTGGCGTATCTGGCTGTATATGAGCTTTTCCATCTTGGTAGAACCTAAGGTCCCAAAAGGCAACCAAAGGGGTTGGTCAGTTTTATATTTTTCCCCAAACACTCTGCTTGACACGCAGGTTAGCCTGTCACCAACGGTCAGTAGGATTTCGGCGGTGCTCACTTGGTGACAAATGAGCGAAAGCGCAGGGTCATGGGCTTCACTTTCTACATCGGCGAGCTGCGTGTCTTCTTCCCCTATGACTCCATCTACCCGGAGCAGTGCCCATGTATTTTTTTTGTCTCAAAAGCCCCTGAAACTGGTTGGTTTCATCTAGGTTCGCCTAGGTTCCCCTATAACCCTGAACCCAAACAAAACGGGAAAGGGGGTTCAGCATTGGACACAAACAAAACCATTTGGAGAGTATTTAGTTGAAGTGGCTGAGGAAGATGGTAATCGCCGCACACTTCATAGACCATCAGGTAAGCTGGAGCCAGAGTTGCGCACCTCTTAGGATTGCCGCTGACAGGGGCCCCTCAATGTCCCTTGTTTGGACCTCCAAAAGTTGCATTTCATCATAAACCCCGCCAGTAAATTGCAGCCTTTGGGGAAGCCCAGTGATATACATTTAAATACATTTTGTTTAATTACAATTACATTGCATTGTTGCTGTTGACTCCCGGCTGACCGATTCCAGATCTAGCGAGGTACAAATACATGTGCGAGCTGAAGCGGGCCTTGGATGCCAAGGGCAACGGCGTCCTGGAGATGCCCACCGGCACAGGAAACCGGTGACGCTTCCAGGGTCAAAGGTGGCGCCAAGGCCTTGCTCAGTGTTGCCACTTTTTGCCAGGGTGCATGGCCAGTTTTTTCCCTGAAGAGTGCTTAGTTACTTGCCCCCCCGCCTTTTAAGATGCAGCTCGCACTTCAAGCTGCACTTGGCCCAAGTGGGTTTGGTGAATCCTGCCACGATTGCTTTGCGAGCAAAGAAACATGGCAAACTGGTAAACATAGCAAACTAACAGGGGCCACCATGTTCAGCGGCTTTGCACGCGATGTGCCATTTCAGATCTAGATTTTGCTCCAACACTTCTGTCACATGGAGTTTGGCCTGCTAGGGTTCGGTAGGGGGGTTCGAACATTCTTTGCGAAAAGGTGCCGCCACTAGCTGCATTTGAGCAACGGAGAAGGATGCGGCACCTCGTGACAAGGATCCCTCCCTAAGTCACGGGAAGCATATCATGACAGCTCGGGGTAGTGAGCGCAACATGCTGGGGTTGGTGAGATACCCTCCTTAGCTCAAAGCCTTCCAGGAAAGACCGTGACGCTGTTTGCCCTCATCACCTCGCAGCTGATCTGCACATGGGATGCTCTTGTGGTTGGAATGTCGGGTGGGCGGCCCTGGTCTTATGCTTTGGCAGCCACGCTTGCCCCAAGGGCTCAAGATGCCTGGGTGTTGTCATCCCTTTGGTTTCTAGATGCTAAGAACACCGCGGCAGACGTTCGCTGGTGAGGGGTGCAAAGAGGCTTTTACCAGGCCTTGAGATGTTAAGCAGAACCGCCAGCACTTGTTGCTCAGCGATGCTGAAGCCTCCAGGCCTCAAGACACGCATATTGACAGCTCACCTACAGAGACCCAAAATTCATGGCAGCAAGGTTGTGGCGACATCAACCGGTGCACGGGTGCACATGGAATCCTTCTTCGGCTGTTTTTTCCACACAGATGCCATTTCAGGTACCAATGGGTGCACCCAGATGTGGGTCGCCTGGTCTACTGCACCCGGACAGTGCCCGAGATGAGCAAAGCGCTGGAGGAGCTCCGGAAGGCTCCAAGTGGGGCTCCGGAAGGTGGGTTTGTTTGAGGCCTCGTAGGGCGTGTCTTTTGTTTTGAGTCTTTTGAGATACCCGATTTTGGTCCCCTTTGTTTTGGCTGGAGAAGGGAAACCGACACGGATTCGCTTCGATGTTGGCTGTTCACTGGTTTTGATGGGCGCACCTGGTGCATCATGTCATTCATTCGCGATGCCGGGCAAAGCGAACGATAGGTCATCGATTTTCGCGTGGAAGTCCTGGCGAAAGAGCGCAAACTCGATCCCGGCTGCTTGGGAAAGAAAGGAAGGGAACAGGCAGGTTGACATGCTAGTTGTTCTGTGGAATTCGGTTTGGCGGGCAAGCATGCTCAGCTGCACGTAGTTGTTCCGTAGAAACCTGTTTCTCTTTTCGGTTTGGTGGGCAAGAATCTAAGAGTGGTCAACCTGACAACCCCAAAATGGATCTCCTTGCTGGGTCACGGGCAAGCTGGGTGAACATCATGAGCTGGCTGGCAAGCTTGCCAAATTACAGCGACCTCACCGGGGGTCGGCCAACGCCCATGGTAGAGGCATCTTTGGATTTCTTGGTTGGTGATGGCCTGCAATCTGCGAAGAATTTGCATCAGGCCCCACTCGCTGAAAACAGTGAGACCATACAATATGTTTTGCCACAGTCAATAGGTATGACGTTGCGGATCTGAAAGGAAGTTAGATGCTCGAAACACACAGCGTGCGCGCAAATATCAACCTCAGTTGTTGAAGAGCTAAGTCCCGTCGCTTATCAGTCCATCTACGTCAAGCGTGCTTACCACAGAGGTTCAATTGGAGGGTTCTCCTCCCGTGTGCTTCTCCAGCCACCGATTCTGTGTTGCAAACGACGTCATTTGGGCAGTCGGGTTGTTATGCAAATCGTTCGCATTACTTTTGGCTAGCCTTCTTGCACAATTGCGCAACGTTGCTTGGATGCAGACTGGGGCAAACATGATTCCTTCGCATGCAGAGCTTTCTTGAGCTGTGGCTTAAGGAAATGAAGAGGCTCCTGAGCCCACGGGTCTGGCAGCTGGACACATCCTGGCGGCACCTGGGCTGAAGCTGGAGTTGGGCTGATTTGGGACAGGAGGGTCATCAATCTTGATTGCTATTGGGTTGGATCTTTAGACTTTAACTTTTTGGGAAATCAATGGGTTTCCATTGAATCCACAAAAAGTTAAACCTTTTGCAGAGGGGTTAACAGCAACCAGGTCAAATCCAAACGGAAAGTCCCAAAATAGGCGATAGCAGTTGCACACTTTCCGAGCGGAGCCTTGCTCACTAAGCAAAGAAGAGCTCATACGAGGCACCCAGGCGCAATATGATGTTGTGAGTTGCCCGGTGGGAGCTATAAAGCTTGTTTGTGCGTGCGTTTCCCCTGTCACTTCGCTTGCGACTGCTGCAAGTGAAATCGATCTTTAGCTTCAAACTATGAGTTCCCCCCCTAACTGAACTCACCAGCCCGTCCAGCTGAGAAAAGCTCAGAGATGTCATGCTGATGGCCAGCTGGCGTGGGGCTACTCAGCTTGCCGTCCCCGCCAGACGGCGAAAGGAGATGCCATTCCCAAGAGTTGTGAATAGCCTACATGGTCTACCGGCTATTGCTGTCGCCTACGGTAAGCGACCTGTTGGACGACGCAATACATCGACCATTGTGCCACCCATCCGCTCACAGGTTTCGCCCTGCTTCCATCTCAGGTCGGCCTCAGCGCCCGGCGGAACATGTGCGTGCACCCGGAGGTTAGCAAGGAGGGTGACCGCGAGCGAGTCGACGAGCACCTGGGACTCCGTTTGATGGACTTACCAGTGTTGCCGCGTGTCAGGACCTCCTGAATAGTAACACTGAAGGTCAGTGGTGCAACCAAGTGTGACTGGTTATTTCATTTGATGTCTTGGCCTCACGCTGTGCATTCTCAGGTGTTAGCCATACCCTGCTCTTGAACCGATCAAACTTTCCGATGGGTGTGCAGAGATCTTTGCTTGGGGCCAGGGCTTTCAAGCAACAGCAGCTGGGCGAGAGCAACGCAGCATGCTCCACTTGTGTTGTTGCCCCGTTGTTCCCTGCCACCTCGCACAGCCTCCTGCAGCCAGGCTATGTCTCCAAGGGGCCTGGGCAGCTCTTGGGATTCCGTGTCATCATTTTTGCTCACGTGTTGAACACCATTCAAGTTTGGGGCAAGCAAGCCCGCGCCACTGCAAGAAATTCTCGCCTAAAGCTAGAACGCGCGGCATGCCCTGAGGGGGGCACACGCACCGTTTTGAGACATGCAAAACTCACCTGACATTGACAGAAGCACCACCTTCGGCCACCTTTCCACGCACCAATCCTGGGCTTGCTCCGGCCGTTTTGGCACTGGCTGCCAACGCCAGAGTTGGCACAAGCTGTCGGCATTAGGCATGGCTCGCGCTTGCGCCTAGGCGTCTTAGTGGACCCCCTTGGAGAAACACTCAGAGGGCCCAAAGAAACCGACTTGCCAGACTGAGGATGTGTCGAAAGCTCACCGCGCCCTGGGCGCGGGACAAACCGCAGACCAGGTGCGGCCATTTCGAGAAGCGCCTTGGCTCGCCGGGGCTGGGTGCTCGCCTGGGTGGGTGGATGGGTGGGCAGGTGGGTGGGTGGGTGGGTGAGTGGGTGGGTGGGTGGGTGGTGGGTGAGCGGGTCTCCAAACAAGTGCGAAACCAAGTTTATCATTTAAAGGGACACCAACATGCGGCTCCGATTTGATTGAGACACGGCCACATGTGGGTGAGAGTGGCGGTCATCATTTGAATGGAGATGCTCTGGCTAAATGAAATTGAAGCTTTGTTCTTGAAAGGAACCAGGCTGGTTGAATCGGCCATTTTGGTGGGAGAAAAGAAAAAACAGGCTCACAGCCAGCCTTTCAACAGTCCCTGGTTTAGACAGCCAATTGGCTGAACAGTACGTTCACGTCTCAGGTACGAAAGCTCGTTGAACCACTCTTCGCAGCTTTTGGAGACGGGCGCTTCGGCAGAGAAGACTCAGTCGGGAACTTGGGAAAAGTTTGGGACTCTGGCTGTGTGCTCTTTGGAATGCACTGTGGCAAAGGCAAACCAAACCCACTAACATGGAATCATGGGTGGGTTTCCCTGTGCTGACTCATTGCTGTGTCAACAGACAACCGTCGGAGCTTTCCGGGCCACGAGCTGCAATACAAATACAAAGTGCTGAACGGAACAAGTTGAGCTATAAGTTTAAATTTACGGTGTCAGCCCCTGATTTGGGATTCGCCACGCCAAGAGTCGTCCGGCGGTGCTCCCATGTAGCGCTTGCTTCTTTCCAGGGTTTCCGGGACGGCTCGGCCCTGCGTGGATTGGTGGCTTGCTGCTGTGCCTCCTTCTTTCCGGCTCCCTTGCACGGACAAGTGGGCTGGGCAGTCTCTGAGTTGCAGCAAGGAGTCTACACCATAGAGGACCTGCGGGAGAAAGGCATGGAATCGATGCTTGGCCTTCAAGAGGTGACAGCTCAAAGGGTTCGCTCATTCTGGAGGCAGGGCATTTGGAACAGCACAGTGAAGCAGGTGGAGCATGTTAGTGCTTGTGGCATCTTGTGGCCAACTGAATTGCAAATCCCACTGCCATCCATGCAAACCTAGTCTGCTTCCGAACATCCTCCGGGCTGAACTTGAATTCGGAGAAACCCACGCAGATGGATGCTGAGGGGCTACGGCTGGTGCCCGTACTACGCTGCCCGACGGCTCATCCATTCGTCAAGCGTTGTGGTGCTGAACTATCAGCGCTTTGGCTTCTGACACTGCCGGTTTTTTTTGGCACGGTAGCTTGAGCTTTCTGCTGAGACCCAGCACGGGCGCTCGTGTTCTTTTCCCACTTCTGCCGATGGTTTTTGATGTGGGTAGCACATGGTGGCAGATGCACTGGTGACACTTTTAGTACAGCCATACTTGTGTTCTGTTTTGTTTGATCGAGTTGACTTGGCTTGGCTGCGAACAAAACATACAGCAGAAATAGACCCCAGATAGCGAAACACGTGCCAACGACTGCACGCCGGCACCTCTGACACCACTGCCCGAAGAGCACCTCAACTGCATGCCCCCCAGCGCCCTGTAGTCCTCTTTACACCGCCCCCCCCCCAGCTGGACCCTCTTTAGGCAAATTTCTGGGGGTCTGGGAGGGACAGTACTTACTGTAGTATTGCCAATTCTACTTTAGTATTGCCAAGGCCCCCTCTCATATTCCCAGGTATTGCCACGTCTACTTTAGTATTGCCAAGGCCGACTCTCGGATTTCCAGTACTGAGCTTAGTATTGCCACTTCTACTTTCGTATTGCCAACCCACTCTCAAGTTCGCAGTGCTGACTTTAGCATTGCCAATCCTACTTTAGTATTGCCAAGGCTCGTTTTTTCAGCAACCCCTAAAAAGGTTGGACACTTAAGAGGACCCCAAAACAGTCATATTAAAGAGGCTCAGGGTCTCTTGTGGGCCACCCCCTATGGGCGAATGCGTGCCCTTGCTTTTTTGTAAAGAAGTTATCTTAAATTTGACGGTTTGCGGGGCCACTGGCAAAGCGAACTTCCTAGATCCAAGGCCTTTACCCTTTGAGCTGGGAAGAGCTAGGTTAGGTAAAAGTGAAAGGCGAAGGCTTGAGTTTAATATTTTCAGCAACCCCAAAAAATGTTGGACACTAAAGAGGACCCCACAACAGTCACATTAGGGAGGGTCAGGGCCCCTTGTGGGCAACCCCCTTTGTGTGACTGTTTGCCTGTACTTTGAGAAACCACTTCAAGACAAAAATCGTAATGTTTGCCTGGCTTGTTTGCCCGTGTTTTTTGCCCGACTTCTTTGCCAAGTTTGTTTGGCCCATATTTTTCGGAGGCTTAGTCTAGCCTGAGCCAGACAAGATCAGGAGAGTAACAAAACAAGCTTTGTTTTTGGAAATTTTCGGGGGGAACAGTTGCCACAGTTGACCACCCCAAAACAGTCACAAGATCCTGAATTGCAAAAAGAAGTTGCTATAAGTACCCGATTAATAAAGGAGGTGCAACATTTTCGTCAATCTTGCAAAAGCATGCAAAAGCGCGCCCGCGCCGTCACCAGCACCTCATACAGCGCTCCAAACATACCTGCACCTGCGCCCAAACTGCGTGCCCTAGCACCGTGCCGTCAATCTTTAAAAATGCGCCCGCACAATCACCACCCCAAACAGCGTCTACTCCAGCACCCAAGGCTGCACGCCCCCTAGCTCTATAGCTTTCAGCTATCTGGGGCAAAACATATTTTGTATCATGCGACCCTCCCTTGCATTGCCTGGTCCGCTGCGTGTGGACACAAAAAGCCCCCGAAAGAGCGCGCTGGACTGGACGCATGAGGTACGTCCTGGACCCCAAGGTGTCGTTGGCTTCCAGCCTCGGTGGATCTCCCGGCCTGAAGGCTGGCAAAGGCGGCCCCTGGGCAAGATCTGGATGGGACCCGAACCTCTGGATCACTGGTATGCCAAATATCCGGGAAGCCCTCGTTTAAATTCACATCAACAGGAATGTCACGGTACGAATGTTCCTTTGCAGCATGTTAGCTACTGTTTTGGGGAGATTCCGTGTGAATGCTGGAGCTAGACGCACTGCGATTTAATGCTCAAACTCACCTGAAAGGTTCAGTTTTGGTCCGCCACGGGATAGCATGACATCGTGCTATGATTCCTTTCGCGCTGTCTGAGTTTGGGTAGGCCAGCCTCCCAAGACGACACAGGCCCTTACACACGGGGAGGCAGGATAAATAGAAACCGAACTGTCCAGCCAGCAGTTCAGTGGATATTCGACTTGCCCGTGCTGGTGCACCGTTTGGGCAGGGGTCTTGCAAGGTCCTGGAACGAGCACTGAGCCGAGCATTGTGGTCTTTGATGAGGCCGAGGGGCTTTCTTTTTGATGTATAACATTATATGCATACATTCATATATACATGTTGCACACAGAATGTCTTACACAGATTCATACGTACGTGTATGTGTATATTTTTTTCTTTCTTTATTTCTTTCGTTCTTTCTTTCTTTGGCTGGCTGGCTGGCTGGCTGGCTGGCTGGTTGGTTGGTTGGTTGGTTGGTTGGTTGGTTGGTTGGTTGTGTGTGTGTGTGTGTCTGGGTGCCCGCATGTCCGTGTGTGTGTGTGTGTCTTTGAATAGACGATGGCATGTTATAGGAAGGTCGTGACCCTGTTTAGCACCTTCGAGAAGTGCATTTTCAGGCACGGCCACCCCTATAGATGCGAAGGCTATGCGAGGGCATCAAGCCAAATGCCAGGAAGTCTCGTAAATGCGTGAATGCGAGGGAGGGCCTTGCAAGAGAAGGGACACCCATGCAAGCTGCCCACGTGCAGCCATTTGGCTCGGCCATGGAAATTGGTTATGGTGGCGAATCAGCCCATCATCTGGGCTTGTCCCATAACTAGGGCTTCAGCAATCGCTAGTTATCCATCAGTTGTACCTCCCCAGCTTCTCCAATCAGGCAAATTGCAAGCTATCCCTCGGACATGTTCCATGAACTTAGGGCACTATACTATATGACTATTTCCCTTTACCCTTGTCTCATGTGCGCACGCCTTCACCGCGCCCGCGCAGCGGGGCGGGTCGAAGCGCATGGGCGATGTCCGCCTCGTCATCGAGCAGATTTCCGGGCAGACGTGGGAGGGCAGAGCCTTCCGCACCGAGCTGGTCGAGTCTCTCAAGGCGCTGAGTCCCGGAATGCCAAGCGATGGGAAGCATGCTGGGCGCGAGTTTGGTTTGGCGGCGTTGGGCTGTTGCTTTGTTGATGGTGCGTAGGAGAAACTTAACTGCTTTTGAAGCTTTTTAAAAGCGACTTTTTGCTTTGGTTTCGGTGGGCCTTGGGCCCAAGGATAAGCCGGAAGAATGTTCCAAGCGGGCGATTGTCTTGCAAATCATGGGTAGTGTTGGAAACATTTGGAAACCCACTTGTCTCTTGAAATTATGTGATGCTATCACTGTAAAGATTGCATATGCAGAGGCACATTTGCACTTGACTTGTTGCTCTTCCGGCCCCCATGCCCCCAACCCGGGGCTGGGATAGGACCGTGTGGCTCTGCCCCTGGCTGTGCCGGCAATGTGCCAGCGCCTGCTCGCAGCCGACTACCCGGAGACAACTCCTGCGCAAGTGTTTGAGGCTTTGGCCGCCAGGACAGGTCTGCCCTGTCACTCATGGCCAGAAGGCACTCGATATACATTGAGGGCTTCCAAAACACAAGGTTCTTTCCGTCAGCATTGCGCAAAGTTCTGGATCGCCACCCTCATTCTTTGTATGTTGTTTGGCTATGCGTGCTTTACGTGGCCGACTGTGAGGATGCAGCGCCTGGTGATGTCTGCAGACAGGCGGCATTTGGCAGAGATCCTCAGCTTCGCAAACCCGCCTGCAGCCCTGCAGGCCAACTGGACGGGAGGGAGCAAGGAGAGTAAGGGGAGGCGGCTCACTTGAGAGACACCTTTACTTTCCAATGCCCAATGCGCCAACTGCACGTAGCACACATTACATGGGAGAGGCACGGCTCTTTGGTGAGCATCCCAGAGACAGTGACAAGCCTTTGCAAACTTCTGAATTGTCGGAAAGCCCTTGTGGATTTACATCATGTTTGAATGGTTTGGAATGTGTCCTGCCATTGTGTGGCTTGGCCCATGGCTACTCAAGTTGTGGTGGCCAACATTGCTCACTCACATCAATATTTCCTAAGGGGTAATCCTGTGCAAGACTCCTAGTCCGACTCTGACGCTGCACTCTGCAGCAAGTCACAATCAGGGAGACCAACCTTGGGGCAAAGCGCAGCAAGAACTTCCAGTAGAGACAAAGGACGGCCATGTGAAGTACAGATTTGATGTTCAAGACGATACTTTTGTGCCAAAGCAATGGCGAGTGGGACCTGGTGTCTTTGAGTCAACGGTTTTTCTGGGCAAGTTAGCTATGTGCAATCGGGCCCTCTAATATTGGTGCTTTCCCTTTGAAACCAACCCCAAGTAGGGTTCTCAAGAAAAGACACACCCAGATCCCCGCATGTGGTTGCAACCAAACTGGGCGGCTTTCGGCCCAAGCTTCCGACTTTGTCCATGGTCCTTCTACCGTTTGCTGTTGTCAAATCTTTGCCCGCGAATGACATATTACTTCTGGGGAGGCCGGCACAGCCCTGTGCAAAGCAGTGAGTCCAACCGTGGGACCCTCACGACTGGCGTTGGCTGAGCTTTCCTCAGCCAGAACGCTCGTGAGTGCGGTGTTTGGACATTTCGGGGATTGGGGAAACTTCCGCGTTGCTTGTGTTGGGGGGACATGCCTTTGGCATTTGTCGGTTTTCTTTCCAGCGAAGGCGTGCGTGGCGCTGGTGGTGCACCTGATCAGAACCTCAGTCCAGTTAGGCTGACGCTTTGTCTGATTTTGTGGTAGAGCTAAGCTACTGTGACAATATATTTTAATTGGTGGCACCTTTTGCCTTCCCGGTTCAAAGTTCTGGCCACCGTATTCATTTGTGGTCCTGGGCGCTGAAGGGCTGAGCCTTTGATTTTCTTGATTTTCCTTGTTGCCAGTGAGGGAATCATGAGTACGTGGAAAAGCACGCGGGGTCGCGCAACGAGCTCGACTGGGACTGCTGCAAGCGGCTTCTTTTCGCTGACCCGCCAGAGTTCCTGCCGCTGGGGCACAAGGACTAATGCGGCGAAGTGGCATCCATTGTAACAGCTGGCTCCGCACTGACATAACCAACCCCACAGTCACTTTCATGATTATGTGAGGTAGACAGCACCAACCCGAACTGCGGACTTGATGTGGTCACAAGGTTTTTGGGCAAATTGTAGCCATCTCTAGGGGTGTTGCGACGTCATCCAAAGTGAAGGTTTTTTTTCTTCGGGGGCCATAATGTGCACCCCAAAGGCTCGATTCGCACATTGGCCCTTACAATGCGCATGTTGATACAGTCCATGGGATGCATGTGCTCCTTCAAAGTACAACCCCGGCAACAGACAAGTGCAGATTTCTACGGGAATCGTGCATAGTTCTATCTGCAACCTCATCGTTGCTGTTGAACAAAGGGGGTTCATTAGGTGGCCGTGTCAAAATCAGGCTGACCCTCCACTGCAGTTTTCTTTTCACATAACGCCTGGCAATACCGCTGGTGCCTAATTGTTTCACACACTCTTCTGCCTAATAAAGGATCCCTTGTGCATGGACGGCGTTATTCCCATTTAATGTTGACCCCGGATTTATAAACCCCTGTTTATTAACATGGGGGTGTTCCCTCCAAAAGTGATACATTAAATCCCCACTGAAACCTGAGACGCCCCCATGAAAAATTAAACGGGGGTTTACTAGCTTGGGGTCAACATTACCAATCCGGGGAGGTAGTTCACTTCCTGGGGTTCAATCCTGAAGCCTTGAAGCCTTGAAGGCAACAAAACCCATCCCAGGAAGGCCCTCCACGACTTTCCTGGGCACCTCCTCGACTCGAAGGTTAGCGACTCCCATGTGGCTGCCGCGGAAGAATGCTTGCAGACGATGGGCGCCTTGGCCTGGCGTTGGGAAAAGCCCTGGCTGCGAAAGGTGCACTTCTAGATCACCTAGGGCCGTGAACTGATGTTTACCCTTGCCATGAGGATGGAAAGGACTGGTGTGATGCTCAAGGATGACGGAAAGCGCTTCTTGAAGCGCTGGGAGTTAGTGTACGAAGTTGTGGGGGGGGGGGGGTGTGGGGGGGGGTAACCTCGTTCCGGGTGATTTGCAGGTCTGGTCAGCCGAAAAATACTCCCAAAAAATGGGAGTATTTTTTGGAGCACTTTCTGCCACCGCAAGGCTGGTTTTTGGTGTTTTTCGCGCTTTTTCGTCGACGCTGCCTATCATGTCTGACCTTTTCGTCTGTGGCTCTCGCGGGCCAAAAAGCGTGCCAGTTTTACATCATTTTACTTTGCTTCCGGCCTCGCCGGACTTGGGCGCACAAGGGGTGCCGGGGATGCAGGGGATGCCGGGGATGCAGGGGATGTCGCTTGTTTTGGAAGTTTTTGTGGTGGTCGGCGATGCTGGGGATGTCGCAGGAAAAATACTCCCATTTTTTGGGAGTATTTTTTGGAGCACTTTCTGCCACCGCAAGGCTGGTTTGCAGGTCCCAGGGAGACGACACGGGGTGTGTAAGTACGGGCGCTGGTTTGGGTTGTTGCTTGTATGTGATTCAGTGCAGGAGGGTTGTGCAGTTGTTGGTTTGCTCTGACTTGGGTCAAGCTGGCAAGGGACAGCAAGGGACAGCAAGGCAAAGCAAGGCAAACCAAGGGAAAGCAAGGGCAAAGGAAGCGAAAGTAGGGGAAAGCAAGCCAGGCAAGGGAAAGCAAGGCAAAGCAAGGGACAGCAATGGACAGCAAGGGAAAGCAAGCAACAGCACGGGCAAAACAAGTCAAAGCAAAGGAAAGCAAGGGACAGCAAGGGACAGCAACAAAAAAGCAAGGGAAAGCAAGGGAAACACAAGGGAAAGCAAGGGACAGCAAGGCAAAGCAAGCGAAAGCACAGGCAAAGCAAGGCAAAGCAAAGGAAAGCAAGGGACAGCAAGCAAGGGACTGCAAGGGAAATCAGGGGAAAGCAAGGGAAAGGGAAAGCAATGGAAAGCAAGGCAACGCAAAGGAAAGCAAGGACAAGCAAAGCAAAGCAAAGGACCGCAAGGGACAGCAAGGGAAAGCAAGGGAAACCAAGGGAAAGAAAGGGACAGCAAGGGAAAGCAAGGAAAAGGGAAAGCAAGGACAATCAAAGGGAAGCATGGGAAGGCAAGCAAAAGCAATGGAAAACAAGGGAGAGCAAGGCAAAGCAAGCAAAAGCACGGGTAAAGCAAGGCAAAGCAAAGGAACACAAGGGACAGCAAGGGAAAGGGAAAACAAGGGAAAGCAAAGACAAGCAAAGGAAAGCAAGGGACAGCAAGGGAAAGCAAGGGAAAACAAGGGAGAGCAAGGCAAAGCAAGCAAAAGCACGGGCAAAGCAAGGGAAAGAAAGGGAAAGGGAAAGCAGGGACAAGCAAACGAAAGCAAGGGACAGCCAGGGAAGGCAAGGGAAAGCAAGGGAAAACAAGGGAGAGCAAGGCAAAGCAAGCAAAAGCACGGGCAAAGCAAGGCAAAGCAAAGGAAGGCAAGGGAAAGCAAGGGAAAGCAAGTGAAAGGGAAAACAAGTGAAAGCAAGGGATAGCAGGGCAAAGAAAGCAAAAGCATGGGCAAAGCAACGCAAAGCAAAGGAACACAAGGGAAAGGAAGGGACAGCAAGGCAAAGCAAGCAAAAGCACGGGCAAAGCAAGGCAAAGCAAGGGAAAGCAAGAGACAGCAAGACAGCAAGGCAAAGCAAGCAAAAGCACGGGCACAGAAAGGCAAAGCAAAGGAAAGCAAGGGACAGCAAGGGAACACAAGGAAAAACAAGGGAAAACAAGGGAAAGCAAGGGACAGCAAGGCAAGGGAAGCAAGGGAAAACAAGGTAAAGCAAGGGGCAGCAAAGCAAAGCAAGCAAAAGCACGGGCAAAGCAAGGGACAGCAAGGGAAAGCAAGCGAAAACAAGGGAAAGCAAGGGACGGCAAGGCAAAGCAAGCTAAAGCACGGGCAAAGCAAGGCAAAGCAAAGGAAAGCAAGGGACAGCAAGGGAAAGCAAGGAAATGGGAAAGCAACGGAAAGGGAAAGCAAGGGAAAGCAAGGCAACGCAAGGGAAAAAGCAAGGTCAAGCGAAGGAAGGCAAGGGAAAACAAGGGAAAGCCATCGCATGCCGTGGCAGGCGCTTTCCGTTGTTTGCCGGACTGGTTTGCAGGATGCATCCTGGCCCTTAGCTGATTGAACGGACCAAGCAAGCGACTCAACATGTCCTGCCATATGTCCTGGCAGTGGCTGCACATAGTGTTTTATTGCTTGGAAACAGAACAAATAGGACGAGGGTTGGCTCAGCTCATCATGGTCTCTCTCTCTCTCTCTCTCTCTCTCTCTCTCTCTCTCTCTCTCTCTCTCTCTCTCTCTCTCTCTTTGCATCAGCCGGCAGAGGTCCTTCCAACTTGGTCTTATTTTTGTGTAGGTTGGGAACCTGAAGGCAAATTGTCCGCATCGACACTAACACTTGACCCACTCTTGGAAACTTCGGCAAGCGACCACGAATAGTATACTCGGTTAAGCCTTGAAGGCAGGATCTTAGCCAAGGTTGTCGTCCAGTCAGCGGATCCTTGAAACCTTTTGGGCATGTTCCTTGCTCGTTGGACACACCGCGACCATATCGTCCATTCCGTCCGCAGGCAAAGCCTTCCTCCCGCAGAACATGAAGCGCATCAGTACCTTCGCCACTTGACTTGGAGCAAGCATAGAAGATCAAGCAGGAGTCCTCAGGGCCACGGGGCTTTTGCATCAAATGCACAGTTTGACGTACCATCTCTATATCTGTTTGGGCCCATGCTGAAAACAGATGATCTGACACAGCCTGGCGCCATGATGATCTTGAGGCTGCACTCCATGTGTACATAGGTGCTATTATATATACATTACATACATACATATATATATATATCTGTGTAGATACGTATAATACTATGTTTTGCTTTTTGTGCATAGTATGCATGTTTTGTGTTCGCATAGAAGTTTCAATCACTCACATACCTGCTCATCTCTTTGCAGCCACCGCCTTTAGATATCGAGATGGATTGGGTCCACAGGGAAGAAAGGGCTAGTTGGCATACGCGCTCGTCCCAGCCCGGATGCGACCCCAGGGCGCCACCCTCGTTGAGTGGGCGGCACTGGCCATCAAGGTCTTCAAGATGTGGCAGGAGGAGAAGACGGCCGGCCACACAGAAATTGAAAGCATCGAAGCCATGATGATCATCTGCAAATCGATGGCCTCCCCAGAACAGGCAATCCTTGGCTCCTAGTTTGGGGGAATTGCCAGGATCCGCCACCCCATCTCTCAGTTCCTCCCCTTGCTAGGCGACCACAAGCGCGTTGGAGCTGGATGATTTCATCGAGCTGGGCGCCTACGTAGGCGGGTGGGGTCTCGCTGAACGCAGGATCAATGAGGCCTTTGATGCATCCCCATTGGGAGATTCCTCAGGACCCAATTAGACTGTCATGGCAAGGTTTGTGAGCAGCAAAGAGGAAACCGAGCTTCTTCTGATTCAGAAAGAAAACATTGCTTGGATTTTGCTCTCATGGGTAACCGATGCTGACCTCATTGGGCCCAAACACAATTGGTGGACTCTTGTCAGGCAGTGCCCCCTTCCAGTCAAGAGCCTTTCAAAAGGATTAGATATTTCAGATGCGTGATCCCGGCCCGGAACTGCGGGAATTTGCAAACAGATGCAGGACCGCAGGGGGGGCATTGCTGAAAAAGCGAAGCCCGGGACCACAAATAAATGGCATATGTGCCAGCCAAGGCCCCACTGGCCATGAGTTCATAGATCATAGATCTGGGGCAGTTTTAGCCTACCGCACCAGGGCCCGTGTGTTTTAGTTTCTTGGTCCCACACTGAGGGCGCAGGCAAGGTATGAGCCTTTTTTGAATGCATGAACCCTTGAGCACACACCCCGTTTTGTAACCCCAGTTGCCCAGCGGTACCCTTTTTTCCCTTGTTTTGGGGAAGGCTTCCCCTTTCAAGTCCACCAACCAAACACGGATGCCGCTTCTTTGTTCCCATGGACATCCACCGGGCATCTGAGCAACGCATTTAGCGAGGCGGAGCTTCGGAGCTGCGGTTGTCGCTGCTCTGCGACGTGGAGCTTCTCTGGTCCTCCCTGGAGCTTGGCACGGAGGCGCAGTTGGGAGCGGCCGAGAAAGGCCGAGAAAAAGGGGAAAGGGGAAGAGTCCCTCTTTTTCCCCCTGTCTGATCCAACCTCCCCCTTTTTCGGAGGTTGGGGTTGGTTGGATCCATTCTTGACTTCCGGGTTCCTCCACCAACCCCAACCCCGGCCCCAACTTTAAAAATATATATTGCTTTGACTTCCGGTTTTGACCCGGCCTCAAAGCAATATATGAGTAGGTCTCAAAACATTAATCGGAACCCCCAAAACGGCAACGGGTTCCCCCAAAGCCTCGATATGATTGGATCAGAACCCCTTTGAGAAGGTTCTATCAGGGGGGACGTGCTTTCTAGTTTCATTCCGTTGCACGGGGAAAGGAGCGGAGTCTTTTTGGGGGAAAGTCACCAGCGCCAAATCGGTACCCTCATGAAGCCTTGGACCACGAATTTCATTTGCGAGGATTCCTGCTGCAACTTATCCCACCTTCCCTCGATTCCTCTTCCTGGGCAAATGAATGCCTATTTGTGGTAAGCTGTTCATGGTCATGAATGAGAGTTGCTCAACGCAGTGCATACCGTAATTGGCACATATCCGCTGTCCAACTCAACTCAAGCATCTACCACATCTGAGTCAACTCGTTGGCGGATGTTGGCGGCGTGATGTGGCAGCAGGCTAGGGCAAATTTTCCGGTAGAGGCTCGCAAAAGCAGGTGTCCAAATGTTCTTACAAAAGCACCCGGCAACTGAATGTTAGCTACCAATGGTTAATAGCAAACATGTGCAGATTATGTCCGAATGACGGTTACTGCGTGTCGTGAATATGTTTAACCTTCCGGCCCCAACACTTTAGTTCATTTTCGACAGGAAATTGCTTCCTTATCCAGATCTTGAATAGCCGGAATCTGTTGGGCTCCAAAATGTTCACAAGACAATCTTTGGCCACACAGGTTTCGTGGCATTTCCGCATGTGACACATCTTTGAATATCGAGAAATGGGAGGGGCGAAGCGACTGCCTGGTGCGCCACCCGGCCCTGGCACTCAGAGAGGGACCGCGAGGAACAGAACCGGAAACACGTGGGTGGAAGATCGCTCAAGATTTCTGGCCAAAGGTTCCCTCCAACTTGGGGCGTTTCCACAATTTGCTCAACATGGTTTAGCTTTGAATCCAGCCCAAAGGGACCAGCCTCTTGCCCAGCGCGACTTCCAAATTGCATGAATAAGGTCAAACATTTCACGGCCGAAAGTATCCAAGATGCAAAATATGTTCTAATGTATAATGTATAGGTGCTGAGTGTGTTGAGCGGCTTTAGGCACAGCCTTCGAGGCTGGCCCGTGCTCAGAGATTGCCATAGCTTTGAGGATATTCAACATATTGAGAATAAGTGGGTGTCCATGAATATATGCAAATTTTCACTTAATCCCTTTCCTACGCTTCCCCTGCTGATAAACCCCGCGATCAAGAAATATTGAGCTTGCCCCGCCAGCAGCTGACACCCTATGCCAGGGAGTCCATGTTCAATGGTCACACGCAAACTCGCAAGGTGGGCCCACATCTCCCTCGGATATTCCGTTTTTTTTGGGGGGCCTGTTCCTCAATACGTTTTTGGGACAAGGACAAGAGACATTGTTGGATGACCCAGTTTGTGCCTTTCCTCGGTTCCGCATAGGCATCAGTTGGCTTGACTGCAGTGTAAGTCATGTTTAGCGGTTGTGGCAGTCACTTGCTCAAGGTTCGACTTGTTTTGTTTGCTTTATGGCAACATAGCAATTCAAGGGACACGTTGGGCCACATTGTGATTCTTTCAAACCGAAGAATGTAGGACATGGATCCACGATATGGCCCTAGGGCTATTTAGAGACCATTTCCGGGCTTCGCACATATCACAATCTTTGGGAAACTTACCTCCAAATAATTCAAGTGGGTTGAGTAGTTGATGGTTTGAATAGTTGAAAGGGATCAAGGGTTATTTTCTACATAGCCCGCTTGACCTATGTAAAAACATGTTTCAGGACTCCAAATTAGCCCCTGTTGAGTGCTTGAAATACCCGTCATGCAAATGTCTTGGTGATGTATTCCAAAGGAACTGCAGCTGCCTATGAGATATATTCAGAATTCTTAGGCATATCCAACACCGAACTTATTAGACAATGCGTTTGAATATCTAGGACATGTTGATTTCTGTTTAAGCAAGAACGACAATTCGGGCCAGGGTTGTTGCTGAATGTTTCAAGTGCTCTATAGATATGGAACGCATTCAGAAATGTATAGAACACATTCCCGCGTGTTTGCCCTCTTTTTGTTTAGTGCTTGACTCAGTGGCACCCTTCAAGCTCCCTTTCTGTTTGGCGGGTTCCCGACTTAAAGAATAGTCTTCAGGCCAAACAAGCATGCTCCCGTTTTCTGTCGTTCGGGCTTACTGGTTGCGGCCTAAGAGCAGACAATCGAACCCTGGCCTGCTTTGCAGGGACACCGAAATGATGGGGTCCTTTGAATGATATTTCAGAGCATGTAGCCACCCTGTTTAGAATCACGTGGCTTAAATATGCTTAAATGGGATTAGCGTTTCTCAAACCCAAGACTGGCAAGAGCATGGCAAGGTTTCCTTTTAAAAGCAACCTGCCCTCTAAGATGTCCAAGTTTCCTTTTGGTTTCCTTTTCAAGGCACCTCTAAAATGGCCAGGCTGTCCTTTTGGTTCCCCATTCGAAATATCCCAAAAGGAGGGTCAACTCCCATAGAACTCCCGCGAGGTGATCCTCCCAGCAGTGGAGGCCTTGGAGGTGGTGGGCCACAGGCCGACGCGATGTGTGGCGCCCGCGCGCGCGTTGGGGTTGTCTCAAAGGTGGATCCCCCAAAATGGCAAGGGTTCCCTGTTGGTTGCCCTTCCCCTTTCAAGCAAACAAAAGGAGACCCGGAAGAAAAGACACACCCATGTGTGAGTGTGTGCTTGTGTTGGTTGAGGGTTTTCGTTGCTTGCTTTGCGGATCCTTGAACTTCCATTTCTGGACCCATCCATGGGTTTGGCCCATCAGTGTGTGAAATGTGCGGGGCACCCGTTGTTGGTTGGCGTTGTTGGTTGGTTTAAAGGGGCACCAAATGTACCTTGGGCGCAGGAAAGCTCCCACAAAACCCAGCGATCTCAATGTTTCCCCAGTCTTTGACTGACTCGCATGAGGCTTGTTCAAACAGAAAGGGTTGCAAATTTGGACCTTGGGGCCCTTGCTTTTCCTTGAGCAGGGTCGCAAACAATGGCATTGCTTCTTGGAACAACCCTCACATGATCTCACATGTAGAAGGGAAACCAGAGAATGCGGTACAAAAGAAGGGAAACCGGCCCAGAGTCCTCTGCCTAAAAATGTTCGGCCGGAAGCTTCTCAGAGCTTCAGCTCGTTTCGGACATTTCTGAAAGCCAAAATGAGGCCAACGTTCACTGAGTTCCGTTCCTTGCACCTTGTGGCATGCCTGGCCGGTTGCCTGACGACCGGTTGGCCTGAGGTGATTCAGTTGCCAGTGATTGCCAAGGTCAAGCCCCCTCAAGGAGGCGTCCCCACTGAATTGTTGACAGCACCAAATGCAGCATGTGAGACGGACTCGACATGAACATGGAACATATCTACACAAATGAAGTCATTGTTTACTGCCTTTGCTTTGCAACTTGAATGGCAAGCGATTGGGCGATTAGGGGCTCGCAAAACAACGACACCCTTCACCCTTTACACAATACCCTTGCAAAATGCTAGAACCCAGGAAGCAGGAGGAGACTTACAAAGGAACAACCTGATGTCGATTGCGAAAGTGATTTCAACGTATCTCATTTACAGTGCCGCATTCACACCATCGAAGCGTGAGGCATGTTTGCAGCTTGATTACAGTCAGCCCTCCCACGGTTGGAAGGGGTGTTGACCAAAGCGAACATGTCGAGCCCAGCCGAAGTTCTACCCTTCCTCCAACTAACATGGCACCTGTGGGAAGGTACCTGGAAGAGGATTTGTAAGAACTTCGTGTGTTCCTTCCAAAAACCAGGGAGCAAGCAGGAATTGAAGGGCTCCAGCTTTCAGGTGTCGGGACCGCGCCATATCGGCGCTGTGCCGCCTCCTTTCCTCCGAGAACTTGGAGGTGCGGCGCGCGGCGCGTGTTGCGCTGCGGCGGCTGGAGGTGCAGGCGTCGGAGTTGCTGGGCACGCTGCGGCCTTGGAGGTGGGGCCGAGGTGCATGCGAGACTCCACATTGACGCTGGCTGGAACTTTCGGAGAACTGGATGGAGATATTTTCACCAAAATCAAAAGGAATTTCTGCTTGAAATTCAAGCCCAAAGCACCGACTGGAGTGCCGGTCTTGCCGGCGTGTTACCCGGTGAAGTTGAGAGGTCTCGTTCCTTGGAAAGGCCACTGCCCCTTTTGTGGCCCTCTCAAAGGGGAAGAGTCAACGGCATGAGGGATCCAAATTGTAGCCTTTTCTTTAACAAGTCGACGGCGGCCAACTTGACCAGGCCAGAACGGCTGGATGAAGTCTTTGCCGCGCTCATCGAATTTGCACCTCAGGACTTCGGAACCCGGGCCGAGTTGGTTAGTGAATTCCACCCTCCCGTTTTCCTAGGCGGGTTCCCAAGGGTCAACCCATGGTCAATCCCAAAAAGAAATGACTTCCGCTGGCATAAGCAAACTGTTCCGCACTGCCTTCAACTTTTGGGTGTCCCGTGGGCCTGTGTGAAGTCATGAGCGAGAGAGGGGGAGAGAGAGAGAGAAAGAAAGAAAGAAAGAAAGAAAGAAAGAAAGAAAGAAAGAAAGAAAGAAAGAAAGAAAGAAAGAAAGAAAGAAAGAAAAAGAAGAAGAACAAAAAGAACGAAAGAAAAGAAAGAAAGAAATAATGAAAGAAAGAAAGAAATAATGAAAGAAAGAAAGAAAGATAGAAAGAAAGAAAGAAAGAAAGAAAGAAAGAAAGAAAGAAAGACAGAAAGAAACAAATAAGTAAATTGAGAAATAGAGGAAGAAATAAAGAAGGCAATAAATCAAGAAAGAGAGAAATAAATAAAGAAAGAGAGAAAGCGAGAGCGAGAGAGACCAAACTTAGACGGAGAAGTGTGGCGATCGATCCCCTAAATGAGCGCTTCCTGTTTGGACGGCGTTTGAGAGTAAACCTCCTGCAAGCCAAAACAACGCAACGCATGTTCGTCGTGTTGTGTCGGTTTGATATGGCCCCTGCCCATGGGGCCCTGTTCTGTGGTTTTGTTTTTTGTCCGGCTTCCCTTTGGACTCCATGACCCTTTGCAATCCATGTCCAAGAACTCATGCTTCGATAGCACCCATTTGCTCTGGTTTTCTCTTCAAACACCTGGCCCTCATATTTCGTGTTTTTTTTTCCCTGCTTTTCTCTCTCTTTTTTCTTCCGGCAGGAGGCGGAGACCTTGGAGTGGCTTCTCTTCGCTACTCGTGAGCAGCCTCGTGGGCCGGAGCGGTTGAGCCGGATTGAAACCGGTCCGGGGTGAAATCCGCAGCAGTTTGCCCATTTCGATGCTTTTGGGGTTGGAAATCCGTTCCTGGTGACATCTCACAAAAGTTGCCCCGCCTACTTTCCTGCACCCTTGCTCAGATTGCGATTTCATGCTGCATGTGCTCAACATGGGGCCTAGAGAGAAGACGCGCTTGGCCTAGCACTCACAGCTATGAACATGTCCTTAAGTTTGTGCCTTCCAGGACCGGTACCATGCCTTGCGGGCAATCGAGACGGCCCCCGCCGGCTGCTTCGGGGCATCAGCCCTGGCGCTGGCGCCGGCGGATGACGAGGGCGCCTGGCTGGTCATTTGTCGGGTGGCCCAAAAGGCGTGTGGGTTGACACCCGATGTGTTTTCCCCATGTGCCATGGGGCACATGCGACACACGCATCGAAAGGAAACCCATTGGTTAGAAGGTGGTCTCTCAACAGATAAAAGTTGGCCAATGAAGAACCACTCAAATACCAGCTGTTGTCAATGGGTTTCTTCGATTAGAGCCCGCCCCTCGTGCCAAATGCCAAATGCCCTGGAAAGAAGAAGTAGTTTCTCAGAACGGTGGAGCCCAGTTTGGTTTGTAGTTGAAGGAACCCTAAAGGAAACCAACCATTTCAGCGGACCGGTTCCCACTTTCACCAACACCCAAGAAAGCCCTAGGCCAGCGGTTCATTTGATTTGGCCAGCGCCTGCCGTCAGGTGGCCGAGACTGATCCGGCCAAGGCGGCAGAACTGCTGCTCATGCAACTCCAGGCGCGCAGGTTGCGGTTTGTCTAGGAACCATTGGAACCGTTGTACCGACACAAGGGAGAGAGAGGGAGAGAAGAGGGAGGGAGGGAGAGAGCCCATTTGAACTTAACGCCAAGAGGAGGGACACTAGACCTTTCGTCTTTACGGGAACGATGCTGCCGGACCAAGCTTGCTATGAATTTCAATGAGGAACACTGGACATTATTCCGCACCTAAATAAAGCAAGTCCAATTAAACCTCACAATCAATGAAACTAAGCTTCCCGTGGGCTAAGCTATTGATATTCCGAGCTCCCGCTGACTAAACTTAGCTTCCCGGCCAAACTTTGGGATTGGAAATCGATTCACCTCCCGTCACATTTGTTCTCCTACCCCTTTCATGGCTTGAGTGCTTCCAGTCTTGGCAGGTAACCAGGGGAAACCATCATGTAAACCCTAGAGCTCAATGGTTCTGATTTTTCAGTCGGGGTCCGCCTGCCACCCATGGCCCCCCCCCAAAAAAACAAGAAGAAAGAACACAAAGCGAACAAAACAATAACATCACACCCACTTGGCTACCTTGCTGGTTCTCAGGGCATGAGAAATGGAATGACCCCTATAATCCATCCAACCGATTTGGTTTGGTTTCTTTCACCCCGACTTATTAAAGAAAAGAGAAACATGATTTCGTGTCCAAGAAAATCGTTGGACTCCGACCCTTTGAACCGGTTCATTCCAACACCCTTTGACGCGCCAAGAGTCGGAGGGCGCCTGGGCGGTGAGCGCCTTGGACCTCGCCCTGGAGCTCCAGTTGGATCTCCGGTTCCAGGAGGCCAGCGACGGAAGCGAGCGCTGGCTGCGCCCAGCAAAAATGGAAGGAGTCTCCCACGAAAAAAACGGCTTGGGGTATGGAAACCAAGAGGGACGCCTGGGTAACTGCAGCTTTGTAGTTGTGAGCCGCATCAATATGTGCTGGCAGCACATGCTATCCATTTAGCGGTGGATAAAGCAGAAACGTGTTGCCAATGCCCAGAGAAAGAGCGACACCTGCCATCCACCCACAAAAGATCCCGCTCACGGAGTGAATCAGAGATCTATGAACAAAACACGCCTCACAATCCAAGTACAAAAGCACATATGCCAGGACCTTCAGAAACGTGCCCCAAAGTGATGTTTTCCACACATCCGAACATTTGGCACTGTGTGAAACTGGCCCTTTCCGATTGGCTTCACATTGCTTCCCTTGGAACAGTCCATCCCAGTGCCCCCCCCTCGGGTTCCGCGTCATTCTCGAGCGAAGGCCATGGTGGCCAGACTGCCCACCCTGCAGGGCCAGCGCCCTGGCAAGAATCGATGGCGCAACTGTTCGAGTGCGGGGGGTCCCCTCAGTTTTTTTGTGCCTTTCCCGTTGGTTTGGCATGATTTATCTAAGGAGTGGTACTTAGAACCACCCGAAGGGACAAGTGAAAGCTAACAGGGGGCTGATTGAAGATATGGTCGCTTGGAAGTGAGGGCGTGTTACGCGAGGAGTTCCTAGTTTCGGCACTTGGCACATTGCTTGCCAGCCCTTCCAAGGTGGAAATCTTGATTCGATGCCTTGGCGACTCTGCGCCTATTCCCGTTTGTTCGTTCAGGGAAGCAACGGAGCCAGCGGAGGGATTTTCTTAGATCTTCCGGCAGGGTGCAAGCTAGTTGCTGGGCCAGGGCAGCGGCCTGGCCAATCCACAGACCTCTGTGCTTCGTTTGTTTTGTGGTATGTCCCCAGCTCACTGGGCATGATGTGGCTGTGGGTCAAAACCAATGGTACCATTTCGGGGTAGGTGCACCACCCATTTTAGTATATTTTAGCTATTTTAGTGGCGATTGGGATGTTTACTGGGGTTACGATTTAGCTTTTGACCCATGGCCATGTTTGTTGGCCTCCTGGGCAAATGGGGCTTGCTGCACCGCGCCACCCCGTTGAAGTGTTTGGCTGCGGTCTTCTCCCGCATCAGTTTCCTGCCTCCCAAGACGTGACACGCAGACAGCGCGCATTTGCTGCCTCAGCGTGACGACCTAATCTGCTAGTGAGGCACAAGTGAGGCTGTTGAAACATATTCTCTAGCCAACAAACCAAGCAGAGAGCAGTAGGAGGGTCGGAAAGCTGCACTGGTTGCCATTTGTTTCCTATCGCCCACACCTTTAACGCCTTTGTCCCCAGGATGCTAATGGCCTTTTGCAGCCGCATTGATTTGGCGAATGCGAAGCCGCAGGCGCGGAGCGAAGGGAAGTGGGGCTGCGGCGCCTGGCTTGGTTTGTGTAATTGAGGCGGGCAGCACTGAGTGAACATGGCACCCTTTGGTACATGTCAATGTCCCATATGCGCGAGTCCCAGTGGCTGTTGCTAATGAGCCAGTTCCCACATTTGGATGTCTCGAAACTGCCTGGCAGGGTTCCTTTTCGCGTTGCCAGTTCGAAGCTTCCGTCATTTCACAAACCAAAGGCTCAATCACAGGCGGCAGTGTGCCCTCCAGAGTGGTGCAAGACAGATATGGCCATAGAACAGCTGAAATGCATCATGATCTCTGAAGCGTTGCTTCCCCTTCGAAACGCAGAGATGAAAGTGGCACAGGTTCACACGTGACTATGGATTTTGAGAGCTGGACCCCCCATGTACATAATGTCCACCAGAGGGTTCAACTACTCAAACCCACAGTCTCCATCAACATCTTCAGTCAGTTCATGGTGAAGCACCACCGTTCAGAAACCCAAAGGAATGATATGATTCCCCTGCACATATCGTAGCAAACGTTCGGGTTTCAACCATGGTTTCTTAGGAGGTGGCTAAGGGGATGTCGCAAGCCTCCACAGAACCCATTTGAAATTCGCCGAACTCGGCTCGTTTTTTGTCCGTTTTGGGGGCGTTGCGGAGGTGGCTCAGGCGTTGCTGGCGGAGCTGGCCAGGCCATGCGCATGCGAGGAGATCCGCGATCTGCGCCGCCAGGGGCTTTGGAGTACCTTGAAAGAGGTGGCCAGGTGGGCTGAAATGCTCGTGGTGCCATGGCAACCTACAAAACCAAGGAGACTAGGAAGATAGAGAGCTGGATAAAGTAAGAGTATGGCAAACTAAGAGTTCAAGTAAGTTTCCCAATCAGAAATGCAAATGAAGTTAGGGCCTTGGTGGTTGGAGGTCTCGATTTCTGTCTTGCCAAGGGCCGGAGTCTGACACAATGCGCTTCCGGAAAGTTCTCCAATGTGGTTGTTGGTATTTTCAGTACTGTTGGCAACGCCACATGCCCGCCAACTTTGCTGTTGTTGATTGTTTTTGTTTAAGTTGTCATGGCCAGCTTGTCAGTCTGAGATGAGACAGCCCAACGAAGACAGCTCGCAAGGCATGGTCCAATTGGGCATCAGCCCAGCTGACTCAGCCCTTCACGGTCTTCTTAGGGAAGGGGTGGAAAATGCAATGTGCTTTGTCACAAGAAGTTGCCGGGCCATAGCCGAAAAATATTGACTTGCACAGGCTCAATCAATGTTCACGCCTTGAGGAGGTGCTGATGATGCTGGCTCGGTGCATGCCAGAAGAGGAGGCCAGAATCATCCCAGCAATCCGCAGTTGCTTGGCACGTCTCGAAGGTGAAACGGCTTTCCAGCGGAGACAGGGGCAGAAGTTTTGTTGCAAGTCAGTATGCCGTTTAGTTTTCAGCAATGATGGCGAGCCCCAAGGCGAGGTTTCGCCAGAGTCAAGCAGGCGATTGCCCGCTTCTCCATTTCTTGGCCACATTGGGCCGATACCGACTTGCCTTGCTTGGATGGCTTGCATTAGACCGCGTCCCAGATCCATTCTCATTTCGTGCTGTAAGCAATTGCAACACATACCAGTGTTGCACCCAACCCCGTGGCTTCTCAGCCCCCAAAGCCAGCGATCCAAAACGTCAACCGAAAGGAGGAACAAGGGGCAGCCTGCGCCAAGGCTTTCTTGCCGGAAGGCACGCTTCCAGCACCGGCGCCGTGCTGGCTGCCGCAGAGATCGCCCAGCTCGCGTCGGCGGAGTGTGAACGGAGGTCGCTTCGGAGACAAGCGATGCTGGCCTTGGCCAGGCGCCACCGACCGGCCACCACTTTCTCCCGTGGCATCTGAGACTGGGCCCCTGTGGTGCCCTCCCCGGGGCCATGGCCGAGTTTCAGTTGAGGTAAGACTTAGCGAACGCAGCCCTTCATGGAGTTTCAGCCATGCGCCCTTTGAGTGATCCCCGCTTGTGATTCGACCACGTCTTGCGACAAGACGACCACCCCTCAGCCCCAGAGCCGCTCTGTCCAGGAGACTGGCGAAGGGCCAGAAGTGCGGCGCCGACTTGGAGCGGCTGATGCAGACAGAAGGCGTGAGTGCTGGAGCGTGCAGTTTGTTCTCGGCCAGTGTTTTGCTCGGCACAACAATCCAGTTCCTTCGTTGGCCCTTCTGAAGAGGAATGCTTTGGAGATGGAGCTGTCGTCAAGCCGCTCCGAAAGATGAGTTTTTAGGTGAAAGAGGCGCGCGTCACCTTGCCTCAACAGCAGAAATGCTTCAGGATGTCGGGCGCTAGATGATGGGTGTTTCCCTGCCAATTGCCAAAACTCCTTTGTCTTCGTCCGGGCAAACGATGCTACGCCTTTCTGGATGTTTTTCAAAATTGTGGACCCCTTTGGTTGATATTGATATTGAAAGGGAAGCCATCGGGAAGCCAACCATTTAAGCGGACCTCTACTTTCCCAAGCACCTGTCTCAATTTCCGCATGCGGCAACCAACGCAAAAAACAACTGCCTGCGCATTTGACCTCACTGGGGCGAAAACGAAGCACGGTGTCGGCCAAGCAATGATGCAGGTCAATAGAAGGACTGAGCCTTAGGGGTGATGCTAGATCTCAAGGGTTTCAATCTGCCGAGAAGGCGAATATGAGCCTGTTTGTGAAAGCGAATGTGAATTCTTGGGGGGTTTTACGGGGAAAGCAAAAGGAAACCACTCAATCTGGGGGTTCCCTGATTCTGAGTTGCCTATTTGTTGAGATGTGAGCCACTGAACGAATCGTTGCCTATCAACTTGCGCAGGTATGTTGGACGGGATCCATGCAATTCGCAATTCTGTTGCGGATTCTGACTGCAAGGGCCTTGTGCTAGGCTGGCTCTGTTCAGGTGAAGGCTGCTGCTATTGCGATTGGCTCACTCCCAAAGTTCCTGGACTTCATAGCTTTTGGAAGACCATTGTCGTGGCAAACGCAAAAAGTTTGGGGACTTTTGGCCGATCCAAGCGAGTGGCCATGAGCCAAGCAGGCGACTTGGGAGGTAGGAGGCGGTAAGCCCCCCGCAGGGCTCACGGAGAACGTCCAGGCCGAGCTGTTGCTGGGCCTCAGCAGCCAGCAGGCCTCCGTTCAGCGCGTCTGCGGCGAGGCGCCGGGGGGGGACCGCTGGGGGCGGGGGTGCGCCGTGGTACGGCTCTATCATTCTCTGTGGGAAGAAAATAGTCTGGACAGTGGTAAAGCAGTCCTGGGGAACCCCCTCCATATCACACTTTGGAAGTTCAGACTGGGCCGACGTTCCATGCGAGGTCTTCTGGAAGGTGGTGAGGAAAGGGGACCAAGGCGTCGTGCAGGTCCTGATGCGCGACATCCAAGAGGACACCTATGCAGCCGAATGAATTGTGGCACCTTCCAAGTGTGTTACGACGTTCTATCGATTTGTTTCCCTTTCGCCAAATGAAGCTTTGAGGGGTGATGTTAGGAGGGTACTTTTTGTGGGTACCCCAAAAAAGAAGGGGTCTAAATGTGAACCGGCAATTTTTCGTGTGCCTCGTAAGGAGACGCACCCATGCGCTTTATGAGCAACTATCACTGCATAAATGTGGATGACATGGGGCACACTCACCAAATTACAATTTGAAAATGGGGTACTCGCCAAAATCCAATGTCCGTTGGGGACACTATGAATATTGACTGTGGCTATGTTTTCGAGGAATGTGTCAAAATAGGGATTTGGACCCCTCAAATGGCAGTGTTCCTGTTGGTTTCCCTTTTATCCAACTTGAAGGTTTCCAAAGACACACGCAGACACCTGTGTTGCACCCATTTGTGGAACTGGTTGAGGATTGTCATGTTTGTGGGGTTCCATTTTTAGTTCCGATTCTGCCAAGGCAGACTTAAACCTAGGGGTTCGTATCCCCAAGAGGACGCGGGGCTTGAGTCTTCCAAAAATGGTGCCCTATGCGTTGGAGGAGGGGCTGCCGAGCCTGCAGCGCGCCCACCTCATCGAGCTCTTGGGTCAGGTGGCGTGTCCGGGCCAAAGCGACGTGGTGCAGGCGCTGCAGACTCTGGCCGGGGACGCGCAGCTGGTCATACGCGGGGGCCCCAAAACGAACATGACAGGTCTTGCCGGCTCGATGGGCAGGGACTGACTGAGTTGGAATGACTTCGGGCTGAACTATTTTCTCATAATTTCTTTCTTTGAAGAGATATGTTCCCACAAGCCGCGGTTGATCTCCTTATGGAACCATCAGAATGTTTGCCTGAGCGAGACGTGTTGCCAGGGAATATTTTGCAACAAGTGTGAGTAGCACTGGTTGGTTTTTTCCCTTTGCAACTTCAAAAGTGATTGGCACTTGGCGGGAAAAGAGTTGCACGATTTGCTTGGTGGGTTTTTGGGTTGGCTGGTTGGTTGAGTGGTTGATTGGTTGGCTGGTAGCCCCAACTCCCACCTCAACATGACCCTTTGCCCAACCCTCCAGGCCAAGTCCCGCCTTGACACAAAGCCTAGCCCCAACAACAACTAAATGCAACTTGAAACAACCCGAAAGCCTGCCCTAAACCACACTTGAGACTCAGAGAGAGCACTACCTAACCACAAGAATATGTTAGCACAACGGGATTTGAATGCTCCATGCTTCGGACTGCAGCCTTTTGAGGTTGCCTCGCCGCCAGTGCGCAACCAAGTTGTCGAGTCAAATGTGCTGCTTGCGTACAATGTAACTTCATACACCGCTCCAGAAGCATCGGCTTCAGGAGCGCGAGCGAGCCCGACTTTTGTGCCTTTCGCTGCGTGAGCGCAGCGCCGGTGCCAGTGCAGCAAGTCCAACGCACCTCCTACGAGATGTGAAGAGGTCCTGCCGCGGCTTGTGTCTACCGCTCGCAACCGCGGAGAGCTGTCCAAAGCCGCCCAACCAAAAAGTATGGACCCCGATGTAGGAGGCAGTGCTTCTTCGCACCTCGTACTCCGACAACAACCAACCTCCGGAAAAGTTTCTCGTTTGCGAACCGGGGGGGACACGTGCTTTTCTGCGTCGCTCGTGTCACATTGTGCGAATGTCGGAGCACACAGCAGAATAAGGCCCGCCGCTTCCTTGTCCGTTTGGGCGACCGCTTCGAGCAAGCTGAAGTTAAAACAACGGCCAACGAACTGCCTGCAGGGCACACAGTGGCGCAAGCCGCGCAAGCTCCGCAACCGGGAGGCTCGGCGCGAAGCGCGGATAAATTTCAAAGCGACAGGCGCACGCTGCGCGTGGCAACGCCGCAGAGTTTCGAGGCTAGGCTGGACTCTCGACACGCTGCGCGTCTGCTGCTGAACTTTCTCTGGCGTGGGAAAGGAGCCGGTTTCCCAACCCGACTTCCACACCGCCTCAAAGGGGGACCGACCGTTGACAGCGCTTGAGGCTTCAAGTCCAACCCGAATTTCAGTCTCCTCCTTCTTGGAAAGCGATGAGCCACTCGCCTTCCTCCTCCCCTTCTCCATCCGGAGGCCGCTATGCGGTGTGGTGGATCTTAGGCGAGGAGCCGTGGGAGGGAGAAGAGGAAGAGGCGGTGGAAGAAGGCGCAGAGCGCGCCGAGAGCCCCAACCCAGAGCCGGACTTCATCCTGAACTACCTCAATCCGGACGAGGTCTCAGACCGGCGCGGGGGCGTAGACTTGGACATGCTATTCCACGATGAGAGCCGCCGCCCAAGTCAGTTCCCTGACTTGCTTGCACTGCATGTAGGGGCCTTGACGGGGTCGCGGGGCTTCAAGTGGTGCGTCCAGGCGCGCTTGCCTGTCAGCAAGTCCGCAGACCAAGGCCTCGGGCACGGCGTCTGTTGATCGTTTCTATGCCCCTTGCTGATCGCAAGCAACTTATTTAACATTTGCTCACCTACAGACAGGCAGCAGGCCCAAGGCGCTCGCTTTTTCCCTCTCCGGACGTCGCCAGGCTTGCTGACAAGCCACATCTGCAACCCCGCGCGCAGACAGACAAGGCCTCGCTCCTCGCGGAGCAGCGCGCGCGCCGATGAGATGATGCTACCCTACCCTGCTCGAAGCGCCTTTTAAAGTTTTGTCGTATTTGGGGATTTTGGGCGCGGTGGGCGAAGCCATGTCGGCGGCTGGCCCCCTGAGCAGAGCTTGAACAAGCTCCAGGCCGTGCCTGCCTGACTCATCAGAGCCGCGCCTACGGCTCTGTGCGGGCCGTAATTACCTCGCAGGAGGCGGCGACGTCAAAGCCCTAGACCAACTTGGTGAATTGCTGCCCGCCGTCCAGCGATAAGAACGCCTGACACCTGCCTAGATTTTTGTTCGAGCTTGAGGTTCCTGGATTCTGGAAGAATTGTTGAGAACGGCGACTTGGGGGTTGTGCTGTTGAAGGAGCCGCTACGATGCCATATCCAAAAAAAGGTCGCGGACGACGCCCGGTATTTTGAGTTCACGCGAAGCAATGTTTTTTCTACACGTGGGAAGGAATGGAAAGAGCATGGAAATAAAATTTGAGCTGGAAAAGAAAAGATAGGGTTTTTGGCGCCATCATTCTTTAAGCAAAGGGAGCCCGGCTCGCCTTGGGCGATTCTAGCTTAGAATGTAAAGGGCTGAAAAGGAATGGCAAGAAACGAAAAGGAAAGTGCAAGAAGCAGAAAGGAAATATTGAGCGGACGTGAGAAAGTGGAAAGGCGTGAAAAACAGGAACGGGAAAGGAATGGCAGGAAGTGAAAAGGAATGGAAAGGAAACATGGCGCTGTTAGCTTCCTCACGCATGAAAATGCGAAACTAGACTTTTTTCGGCCCGGCTTTCACCACTTCTAGCTCGGAGTTGCAAAGAACGTGCAGAAATGGAAAGGACGGAAGCCTTGCAAAATAACCTCTCTTAAACCAACCTTAAACCGCTCTAAAATGGTCTGGGAGAATCCCCAGGCCAAACTTCAAAACCAAAAGGGCTGCCTCTGGGGGGGGACCAATTTTTGAGACAACCTCCCCGTCAGTCGAGGCGAGGCGGCCGCTGGGGCCTTAGGCCTCTGCGGCTTGGAGGATGCCGATACCAGGGAACTACTGCGGGGCCTTTTGACAGACCCGGCGACTTGGAATCGGGGCTTTGTGGTGAGTGGTCGGATTTCAGTTGCAACCCTACAACTACTGCTGAACCTTAACTCATCAATGGTTCTGTGTGTCACTTCTGGTACAAGCATCTCGCAAGCATGTCTGGGGCCTAATTGGGTGGGCCGGTTTGAATATGACATGCACGAACGAGCAGAGGGCACAGTATGGTTGCCCTTCTTTGGCCCAGCCGGGGTTCAATACTTTTAGTTTGCCATCACATGACCACATGAATCCGAATCAATCATTTGTTTTCATCCAACCAACTCAACGAATCGCTCACATCACTTGCGGTTCACACCGCGCCCGCTACCTCTAAGGACGCCCAGGTGCGGCTTACGAGCCTGCAGTGTTTGGCTCGGCTGCCCCATCTAGACCTGCCGGATCAGCTCCTGCATGATGATGCCCCTCACGGAAGAAGGGAGGGGTTCAGGGGTGGAGGTGCTTCTAAAGCACAAACCGACTGGCTTCAAACTCAACCCTCAATCCTTCCGCCAGGTTCTGGTGGCTTTGCTACAGTGCCGTTCCACTGTAGACTTTGGATTGGAATTAGAAATTCCCCCCGTGTCAAACAACCCAACTGGGGAAGGGCCAAGTTTACACAGCTTGGAACCTTCATGTTTGGAACGCTGAATGCAACTTGAACTTACTTTCTCCTATGTTCACAAGTTTAGTGACAGCACAGCAGCCTCCCCGAAGATTTGAAGATTTGGTCAGAGGTTGATACATGTTGATACGAGTACAGGTCCACGGAACTTCTGGAAGACCAGCCTTCTTTGTCGGTTCCCATTTGTGTTTGCAATTGCTTGTGTTCTTGCGACAACCACCGTCATTATATACACATGGTTGGACAACAGAAGCCAAGTAAAGCCCAGCTACATTGCGACCCAGCTTCTTTTGCCGTGGAAAGGGGAGTTTTGTAAGTGGTGACCTGCAAGCAGCGTCACCTTGCATTGGCATGTTTGAGCTTAAAAGAGTTTCATGTCATATCTTTGAGTGGGAAACTGCGCTTCAACTCTCCTGCCAGGAGCCCTGGCAGCCGCATCGCTTGCCAAACAGCCAAGCTACAGGTCAGCTTTCGATTTGGGACACTTGCTCTCTTGCATTTGAGTTTGGCTGCCAGCTCTTGATTAGGAGGATCGTCAGCCACAGTCCATGGTTGGTGATGCAACGTTTGTAGTCCCCCTCCTCCTCCTCCTCATCATCATCGTCGTCGTCGTCATCGTCATCGTCATCGTCATCGTCATAGTCATCATCATCATCATCATCATCATCATCATCATCATCATCATCATCATTTTCATCTTCATCTTCATCGCGATGCCTCGGACCTTGCAAGAATTAGGCCACCAGCGTTGTCCTCCTGGCGCTGGAGCTGTCGGCATCGCCACAGCTGTCGGACCTGGTGCGGCTGGCCGCCCATGGCGACCCACGTGCCACCCTCGGGGCCGGGCGTGTTCCACCAAAAGAGAAAAGCCGGGCGTTTCTCAAATATTCGGCGCGTGGTTGGTTTGCCGTTAGATCGCTTCAGTTTCCCTTTGAAACCATCCAAAAGGGGACCCTCATTGTGAGAAGCACCCACTTGTGGGCACAACTCGGCAGGTTCATCAAGCAGCGGCTTCTCAAGCTTGCCCCTGCAACATGCACCGCTCTCAAACGGCTGCCCACATCCAATTTCTTAATTGAGTAGCAAGCGCTGATTTTTGCTGGGCAATTGACACAACGTCAGCCACGGCAAGCAAGCAAGTCCCTTTCTAGAAGATATTGCCACTGTTGGGAAAGTGTCAGCCAACGCATGCGTCTACAACACAACTTTTTAAAAGACATGCACAGCCCAATAATGTTGCAATCGGACAAGGCCATGCACTTAATGTTGACCCCATATTAATCAACAGTTTATGAACACACGGGGTGTGTTTGGGCCCAAAGTGGGGAACGAGACCACTTTTTGGTTGATTCATATGATAAAATGGGGTCAACGTCAACAGGTGCCTTTGTCAGGTGTGCGTGCCCTGGCCGTGCGGCGCCTGGGCCGGGTGAAGGCGGTGGGAGCGGAGCAGGCGCTGAAAGCGTTGTGGGCGCAGCCGCTGCCGGGCTGGGAAGTGGACCCTCAGGCGGGGTTCGGGGACGGGCTAGAGCCAGTGTAATTAAGAGCCTAAAAATATAGCAGCAACGGACATAAGGGCATACATACAGCTTGCCCCTCGAATCACAATATCGGGTTATTGAAGTACCCCACAACCACATTCCAATCATCCAGGCCTTTTGTATGACTCACGCCCACGGTCTCCATGGATTCACTGTACAGAGTTTCCAAGCTCCGGAGCTGCCTATGTGATTTTGATGATGATTTCTGGATGTGTCCTTTCAAGAAAGTTGATGTTAGGCGAGCTGGAATCAGTAACTGGGATTGCTGGTTGGCAAGAAAGTTGACCCAATGAGAGGGGCCGTGTGAATCATGATACGCTCTTGGCATTGAGGCCAGCGCCATGAATTTCGAAGTTTTGGATGCAGCAGCTGTGCCTCTTGTTTGATCTCCCTTTACTCTCTATGACATGGGTGGGATGTTGTACATGTAGACTAGGGGGTGAAGCCTTCTTTTTGAGAAAGCTTTTCTTGCGCGTCACAGAGCCCAAGTGCCCGAGGTGCTGGCAGCTCGAGAGGAGGCGCTTAAGGCGCTGACCTGATGGGCTCACCGGGTTACCGGTCCAGGGCAACTGGCCCTGGAAAGGTTCGAGTTAATGAGTGCAGGTCTGCCTAAGCCTGGCTTGCTGCGTGAGAGCAAACAAGCGCCTTGGACTGACTGCTTGCCAGGCCAGACATTGCCAGCTTTTGACCTTTCCGTTTCAAGGAGTGTGAGGCCCAAGTCGCCATGGCGGCCGTGGCGGCCGTGCCAGTGGCAGCTTTGGCCGGCCAAGCGCCGGCTGCCCCGCGTTGGGCGCGAGGCCGTGCGTCCACGCGGACTGCGGCGCAGGCCTGGCGAGTGCGACGCCTGGGCGGCCTTGGCCTTGCCGCGCTCGTTGGTGGGCGAGCCAGGGTGGCCCGCAGGGCATACTTGGCCGAGCCTCGGTACTTTAGCCATTTCCTGGGATGGAGTTAAACGAGCACTGAGGGATGATCCTTGCTTGCAGTTGTACCGCAACTTCGCTGTTGAAAGGTTCCAAGCCTACCACTACACAAGAGCTATCGCGCTTCCAGCAGCATTAGCGTTGTAAACGTCATGAGCGAGTTCGGCAGCTGCAGAGGCAGAAGGCTGATGCAAATAATAAGTGGTCACAGTGCTGGCGTGCCGATCCGAGCCCTTCACATTTTTTCTCGAGACACCCAGTAGCCCTTGCAGTTTGCGAGCTGCACGTTGTGACATGGTCCCTTGTAGCGCGCCACAAACAGTCAGCACACAATCGAGGCACAGGCACTGACGGATGTGTACTTTGAGCTCTAAGATTCAGGGGTTGCTACATGTGCGTTGCCATCTATGGCATGGGCAAGGGCCTACTTCCCCCCATCTTGAGAGTCGGGCTGCTGCTGCGCCAGGAATCCGTCGCCGCGGATGCTCGCTCGGCTTTGAACGAAGTGCTTGCTGCAGCGCCGAAGGATGGAGCCGCGATCTGAAGGGCTGTGCTGGCGATGATGTGTCTGTGTGTTTGGGGAACCCGGGACCCTTTTAAAGGGAAGCCAGTAGGAACAGTGTGGGGGTCTACTAATTTGAGACAAATCCTTGTTGGATTTGGCAGGTCATTGATTCTCCTGTGCTTAAAACAGAATCGGTGGGGCGGGGAGATTGGAAGTGGTCCCCATGGCCGATTTTGTTTATCAGTTCCAACTACCGCTTACTTGAGGCCTCACGGTAGAGGTGCGTCTCAGGGTGGGTTGACAACGTGCAGATCACTCATTTCAGGATTATGCTGCGAGGGGCGATGCTGATGGATGTTGGATTTGGGGCGACCTGTGCGGTGCCTGCAGGTTGGTTTGCAGCGGCAGTTGGGTCTCGTCATAATTCCTGATGTTGCTGATGCTTGGTTTGGGTGACGGTTGGGGCCTGCACGTCGGCAAGCTGCACTGTGGTGATTTTGGGACTGGACTTCAGGTTTGCGACCCGCAGGGCTCTCAGTTCAGTGCTGGAGCTGGCTAGTCGCTTGGTTGCTTGCTTGGTGGGTGGGTGGGTCGCTCGCTTGCTTGCTTGGTTGCTTGCTTGCTTGCTTGCGCTTGGTTTGATTGGCCAATTGTGGGGTAGCCGCCAAGAAATCCCACAGCAACCTTACAGCAACCTCCCCAGACGGCACCCAACATGAATCAACCCTCCATCAACCCTCATCGCCTAAACTTGCCGAAATTATTTATTTCCCTGAACGCAACTTCCGCCCAAAACCAAGCCCTCAACAGACAAAGCCCAAGCGACCCAAACGCCAAGCCAGGATCAGCACCAACACCCCAACCATATATTTTGCTCCATTGCGTAAGCTGGCGCATGCTGGACCGAGCCAGTGCCAAGCACCAGAAAACTTCCATTTGGTTTGCCCCCAAGAACACTCTTTAAGCCTTGTGCGGAAGAAGAGGCCTTGGTTGGTGGGTTTCTAGCTTGATGCCAAGTGGTCTGCGGAGGCTGGCTCCTTTGCTGCATGAGGCTTGACATGATGGGGAGTGGCCTTTTTGAAGGCACTTTCGGCCACAACTGAGAAAGCTTGGAAGACAATGTACATGAAGTGACGGGTCTAGATCTGGCGACTGAAAGTTCTCAACCTGGCAGGTTCCAACTCACGGTGTCCAAATGGGGATGTGTTTTTTGGAAACATCACCGTTTGGTTTCCCAAAGGTGGCGTCCGCATTGGTTTCGCAAGGCGCAACTTGGAAGCTCATTTTTTGTTGTTTTGACCCTCGTTTCATGGGTCCCCCTCGGAGTTTTCGCTGACCCCCCCCCCCCGCGCGCGCGAATCATTCCGCAGGAGGCCCTAGTGCTGCTTCTGATCCCGCGGCGCTTCGCCGCGGAGGCGCAGCAACTGGTGCAGCAGGCGACGCAGAGCCTGCCAGGCGGGTGTCTTTTGTTTGTTTGTTTTTTTTGTTTTGGGGGGAAGCGCAGGCCAAGCTTGATTCGGTTTACCTGTTCATTGACGTGTGCAAAAGCCTTGCTAGAAGAATGAGTTTCCAAGCAGAGCTCAAGTTCCGCGCTCGAAGTGTGGGATGCTAGGAGCTTCCTTGCCAGTTCCTACAATCATGGCTTTTTGGCACGGCTGATTCCCATTGGTGTGAACCCCTAGCTGGTAGAAGGAAGCCAGAAGAAATCAAAAGGACATGATGAGCATTTCTCTGATTTTAGGTGACCAAGGATGACCTGATTCGCATGAGTGCGTTTACAGTAGGGAGTCGAACTTTGTCGCCTCGTAAGTGGGGCTCGCCCGGAAGGTTTGGACACGGTCCATCCCAGAGCTCGCAGGCCTCCCAGTAGACTCGTTTGACACACATATTTTCGTCACAAGCCCTCGGTCTCTTTGGGTCAGGGTCTGTTTTAAACGGAAGTCCTGTTTGGGGGGTAGAAGGAATCGTCGGACAACAGTCACATCCCTTTCACTTGGCATTTGCATCAGCGCACTTTCACAGTCAACACGTGACAGTTGAGGTTGAGCTTCCATGTTTAGCAGTTGACGCTCAATTGGGTGGGACACGGGTTGATTCACTAAGAAATCTCTCACACACGCACACAGCATGGGCTGGCAGCTCCAGTTCAGTGCCGGGCTAACAAGTATTTTGGTTCCCAAATGCTCATGACGACTGAACAATCAAACTTAGTCAACGGTTTCCTTTTCCACCAAACCATTGGAGACTTGCACAACATCCGCTAGGCTTTTGCCCCCTGCCCAGCTCAGCAACATATCATGAATGGCCCAAATGGCCCAAAGAGTAGCAACTCCCTGCCCTGAAACGCAAAAGTGAAGATCACTGGCCCAGAGCCCGGCAGCTTTCGATGCCAGGAGTGCAGCTGGCCGCCTTCATCACCGGCGGTCAATCCCTCCAGCTCGGGACACTCAACGGTCCACCTGGCAGCATCAAGGCCGGGATCGGACCCGGGTCCGATGCTTGCGGGGAAGGCTGCGGAGTCCAGTTGCCGGAGGCCTGGTTAAGGTGCCAAGGCTTGTGAGCGAAGCCGCGTCGTCTCGTTTGAGGCAAAGCCGGGTTTAAGCCTTGGGCGCTGAGCATGGTACTTGTAAGGGATAGTGCGACGATCTAGCTCAACCGAGCCACTTGAAACGAACAATGACTCTGGCGCGTTAGAGGCTAGTGCGAGTTTCAGGGCTGGACAAACACATGTTCCATTTTGTTTATTCTTCCTTTTTTAGTGAAGTTACAACAACGTAAAACATAGCATGACGTTTGCAGGTAAGCAACCAGATGATGAGTTTACATCAAACATGTATCGACACTGACACACCATAAACACATGTGGATTTGCATGTGTATGTGTGTATATATATATATGTGTCTATGCACATGCGCATGCACATGCATATGATGTACAGGGCCATACGCACAGCCAACCCGGGCCGATCTGCAGACTGGAGGCCTTGTCCTTGTCGCCGGATTCCCCGGACGCCGGCCTGGCTTCTTTTGCGTCTGCGGGTAGCGTGCTGGTCCTCGCGGATCCCAGCGTTTCGCCCCCGGCGCTGGGGAGGACACTGGAGGCGATCCAGAAGAAGCTCGCAGAGAAAGCCACAATGGCGCTACGTGTCGGTGCATGTGGGTGAATTATAACGACCTCACACGACCTCACCCCAAATGGTGGTTCATGTGGGGAACAGCCCCCAAACCACCATATTTCAGGCTGGTGAAATATTATTCTAATTCACCCAATGCGTGCTTCGTGTGTGGTGCTTTGTGGTTTGCTCTTGCTGTTTTGTTCTTCCTTTCTTAGTGGCCGAGTATCCATGTTGCGTCCATACTGGTTTTGCTCTCAGCTGTTTTTGCCGCTTTTTGGGTTAGATAGGTGCCGAATCAAATAGCATGTTCATTCGCTGCCTGGTGTCCATTCTCCCCTCACAAAAAAGCAGCCGCCAAAAGGTTCTGCCTCAGACTTCCTTACTCATGTTGAATGAGCCTCAAAAAAAGGGTCCCACTTGATAAGTTGGGGCGGGTCTGACAATGGAATAGGTCCACTGGCCCAAAAAACAATGCGCTTTGCTTCGCAGGAGGTCTGAAAAACATCCTTTGTCAACTAGGCTTGGATTCTTGCAGCGGCTGATTGGCCAATCCGACAACCATGCGTACAACTGCTCAGGCACCGTGCTTCAGCTATCTCATTTGCATTCATCATGTCCACCACATATTGCTACGAGCGTTCCAACCCAAACTGCCCCATAGTCGCACGTGTTTCACATGCCCAGTGGCAAGGAAGTGGCCCAACACCACGACGGCGGGGCTGGTGGCCGCCCCGGGCAACGCCCCAGGGGCGGCGTCCGTGTGGCTCAACGGGGTCGCAGCGCCGGTGGCTCTGCTGGTGCTGCCCTCCGCCGCGAACGCGGCGCTGGACCTGGCGGGCTGTGCGCCGGTGGGCCAGGAGATGGAGATCTTCGAGGCGAGTCGCTGAGTGCGCCCTAGGCCCCATGGCTGAGCTGAAATGGTTTCTGGTGGCAATGAGACTGTGCTAGTGGTTTCTGGCTGATGGTTTCTTTGTTTTCCAGCCGACTCATTCCCACAGGCAGTGCATCCCTGCAGGCATCAGCGCAGCGGGGCAAAGGTGCTGAGCTGCTGCAGATCGGCACAGACCAGGCCAGGTGGGGGGATATCTTCCTTCTTTTTGCCGTCAGTGCGTTGGGATTCGTGCAGCCAGATTCACGTTCGACTGATGATGATGATGATGATGATGATGATGATGATGAGTAGTCAAGCGGGGTTTCAACAGAGCATTCGCCAGCCGAGAAAGCTTGCGAACGCCTATCTCGAAAGTGCCCAGAGAAGGCCGCGAAAGCCCCCGCGAAAGCATTTATTGTATTTATATTTTTGATCTAGACATATTTAGACGTAAACACTTTCAGTAAAAGGAAAAAGGCTTCCGCAAATTCCCCGCAAAAGAAAAAGCTATCCCACGAAGGGGTGCCCCATTCCAAGCTGATGTTGCTGTTTCTACCTTTGCTCGAAGCTTCAGGAGGCTGCAGTGCAGTGCCCTGTTATGCTCCTGCGGACGCGTTTTTCGATCCAAATGGTGTGCTCGGCAGCATCCGCCGCGAAAGGTCCGCGAAAGCAAACCTGAGGGAAACAGTGCCCGCGAAAGCAAACATGTCGCGAAATCATCGCAATAGGGGTCTGCAAAAGCAAATTCATAGCACTCCTTTTATTCACGAGAGTTTTCAGCACTGCTCACTTGTGCAAATCAACATGTTTGCCTGGCACGTCAGCGCACTTAAGCACGCCCGTACCCGCACACATACGCACGCACGCATACGCATACGCACACACGCACACGCATGGCCCACATACACATGCAAATGCACGCATCCACACGCAGCTATACCCATGCACACATACGCGCGCACACAAAATCACATACTCCTTCTTTCCTTCATCCATCCATCCATCCCTCCCTCCCTTCCTCCCTCGCTCCCTCCCTCCATTCAGCCATGAATTCATTCATGTTTGTGTATTCATGAATGAATCCATCCATCCATCCATCCATCAATCCATCCTTCCCTCCCGCCAGCCATCCATCCATCCATCCATCCATCCATCCATCCATCCATCCATCCATTGATTCATTCATTGTGTTTCAGTCATTGGTTCCTTTATTCGTTCATTCATTCATTCATTAATTCATTCATTCATTCATTCATGCATTCGTTTGTTTGTTCATTCATGCATTCATTCATTCATTCATTCATTCATTCATTCATTCATTCATCCATTCATCCATCCATTCATTCCATTCCATTCCATTCCATTCCATTCCATTCCATTCCATTCCATTCCATTCCATTCCATTCCATTCATTCATTAACACGATCTCTTCAGGTATTCATTCATTCGTTTGTTCATTTTTTCATTCATTCGTTCATTCATTCATTCATTCATTCGTTCATTCATTCATTCATTCGTTCGTTCATTCATTAATTCATTCATTCATTCATTCATTCATTCATTCATTCATTCATTCATTCATTCATTCATTCATTCATTCATTCATTCATTCATTCATTCATTCATTCATTTATTCATTCATTCATTCATTCATTCATTCACACGATGCCTTCAGGTATTCATGCATTCCGGTATTGTTGCATGTGTGCTCTAGTGCATTCTTTCATTTCGGCCTTCATATGTTCATACATTCATACATCATGCATGCATACGTACAGCCACGTGAGTGTGGGAGTCCATTGTCACGCCATATACGCTTGGTTTCTATAGCCAGCATGGTATGGACCAGTGCGGCCGTTGGGTCACCAAGCTGAGACGCTCAGCCCTGTACTCCCCGTGTTGGTTGTTTTATAGGCATCACTGTTTTTGCACCAAGCTGAGTTTCCCATGGTGTGATGATCTTCAGATTGGACGTGCGAATCCCTGGCCCCACCAGAGTCTTAAGCCCCCAGGAGGGGGACTACCAAGACGCCGCAGAGACGGAGAAGGGCACCGCGGGCATCCCGCGGCGGGTGGGCATCCCTGCGGCCGCAGCGCTGAAATCCGCTTCTGGGCCCGAAGTGGGAAGCGGGGATGGGTCAAGGGTTTTGCCAAAGGGGGACATCGGAAATACGGGTCGGATAGTTCCCCTTTCCAACCGCGGAATAGGGGCGTAAATTCTCTATAATTCTCTTAAAGCGACTTTAATCATTTTTCGGGAGGATCGTTTTAGCGGAAATCTAGAAGTGAGAGACTTTGGGCCAATCCTTTGCTTTCCGTTTTCCTTTGTAACCTCAAAGGTATCCACAAAACAACACACCCAAATGGGCCCAACAGGGGCGACTAGCTTCGCTCACGCAAACCCGTTTGATGGCGCGGTTGTCCTGTGGCTACATGTAGGTTTAAAGATTCCCTTTGCGAGGTATGCCATTTGTTGGGCATGCACAGTTTTGTCATGTGCTTCTCGTTTGTAAATTCCTATGTATACATGTCGTGTATGTGACATGTCCGGATGTGTTGCGGGAAGTTGCTGCCAAAACAGGGCCAACGCATTCAGGATACATGTCATTCAGGGCGTGTGGGTCGCTGGGGTTGGGGGGGGGTTCACGGCGTCCTTACGAATCCAACATCTTCTGTTGCATTGCGCGGGGCAAGGCCCACGCAGGGCCCACTTGGAGGAGTCCATTTTGGCATCGAATTCGTTCTTCCAGCGCGGAGAATCCACCGCTTCAGGTCATTGAGGCACCGAACAAGTAGGTGAATGTGGAACTCGCTATGTTGCCAGTTGCTTCCCCCCAAGTTGTTCGCGGCGTTTGGGCGGGTAAGATATGACCTTGGGGACGGGCAAGTCTCAGGTGATGCAGGCAAACAACATCTCCGGGCCCAAAGAAATGCTGCTGGGCCTGTCCCGGCCGGGTGGCTCGGGACCTCTGGCCGCGCGCTGGGCGCTCTTCAACTGGGCGCGCCGGGGGGTCGGGGTGCAGTTCCCAGACTTGGCTTTAGGAAGGAACCCCCTTTACCAAGTTTTAGGAAGGAACCTTGGGAAAATTTCCAGTTTCGATGATACCAGGAGAACTCAGTTCCTATAAGGGGAGGCAAGAAGCCATGACCCGGTGGCATCCACACAATGTAAACACACCTATATGAATCATGTTTGTGTTCAAGTGAGCGCGGCTTTGCCTGCAAAGTGGATGGTCGCCATCCACTTTGCATGCTGGCAATTCCGCAGCCTGGAACGCGAGACGAACTGTACAACATTCCAGAATCTTTGATGTGATGCCGCATTTGTTGGATTGAATCGAAGTGTTTTAAACTAGCGCTTGAACCTTGATTGTTTCTTTGGCTTGGCGATGTGATATCTCTGATCCCCCAAACTTATCCCAATCAACGGGCCAAGACAGTCCTTCTCACCTTCAGCATGCAGGGCCTTGGAACGGGGATATTGCTGATGTGAAATAGGTTTGGCAGTGCATGTAAATCATCATCAATTGAGTTAGAAAATGGAGCGTGCGGCATGATCCATGCTTGCCTCCTTTTGCAGCTGCTGTACATGCAAGTAAGCTGTTTGTTTGCTTAGTGCTCATCTCGAATTTGCACAAGTGAACGTCCTTCTTACGCTGTCGATCACAACAGGCCCGCTTGGAATGCCCCGTCCCTTTGTTTCACAAGTATTTATCCCATTTGCTCACTTGCAATGGCGGTTCGATGGCTGCGTTCCTGTTTGCCTGCCTCTTGCTGCTTGCTTGCTTGTGATTTGTTATTTGAGTTTCCTCTTGGTGGGGGCGTGTTTTCAGGGCGAATATGGGTGTATCTTTTCGGAGGGTACCCTTTTTGTCGTGGTCTTCGTTTAAGAGAACCCCACCCCCCCCTTTTTGTGCGGGCCACCTATATGGTTGACACATCGCCATGCTGTGGGCGGACAAACTCCTGCACCAGTCGGGATGAATGAAACCCTATCACTGGGATAAACCACCAATCACACCTGGTGCCGATCGGCGTGAATTTTGTCCACATAGGTGAATTCAGTCACCTACCTGGCGGGTGAAACTCATGATGCCGCAATTTGGCGGGTCACTAGCTGAGACCTCACGTGCCTTCATTTCCGAAAGCCAAAGCGCCCCATTGCGCGGGTCGCCGCTGGTGCTCCATTGGTCTCATCTGGCAGGTGGGGGTGTCCCCGAGCGGCGCCTGCCAGCTGGCGGGGGGCGACCCTTTGACGGAGGGTCTGATGCCCACGGGCGCGCTGCGCCGCTGCCAGGCCTTCCGCCTGACCGCGGCGGGCCCCGACTGGCAGCGCCGCGGCGAAAGTTTGGGTTTCAGGGGAAGCCTCTTGGACTCTGCGGGTTGTTCCCTTTGGTCATTTCTTCCCCCTTGCTTTGCTTGTCCGGGGGGGCGGGGGAGGTTCCCTTGAAAATGAGCCGCCACAAACTAGATACCAAATTTAACCGCCGTTGGCGTGTTCCGCTTCAGTGATTGCTCACCAGGCCCCGCTTACTCGTGCACGCGACATTGGTAACAGAAAGCAAGCGTGTGCGTTTCTTGCAGTTGTTCTTGCATTCTTCTGCGCTGTTTTGAACATGTTGTTTAGCAAAGTTTTAGTCGCCTGCTTGCGCGCGCGAGACTCCGCAGCAAGGAGACACAATTCTACAACACAAGGCGGGAACACAAACAAGACTAGATACAAGAACATCCACAAGACACGCTGGCCGAGCCGGCGGATTTTCTTCCTTCTTTTTTGAGGGGGTTCTATTTTCCTACAGTGCCTGCAAATAAAAGATTGGAGCACGCGCTGTCGAGGAGTTGGAGGTCAAATGCACCCGTCGAATGCGCAAGGTATATTGGGAAGTTGTGTCTTGAATGGCTGACCACGGCCGGTCGACTGCAGATCACCTCTTAAAGGGTGAGCGCGCAGCAACTTGACACCAATCCTTCGAAAATAGATTTAGGAATTTCGTGTCTCGTTATAGCAGTGTGGCGTATAGTTGCATGCGCCGAATCTCAGGAGGCGATGAGAGAGTGAAGCATAGTCATTTTGTTCAACCAGGGGAGATGGTCCTGCCGGATCAAACTTTTCAAACAGCACTTGATGTTTCTGTTGCATTTTCATGTCTTAGCGATTAATTGCACGGGTTTCGATCCAGTTCAGGCGCCTGGTAGCTGCTACGGGAGCGGGAAAGACGCCAGCGCTGACGCTGGTGGCAGCTGGGGGCAGGAACTTGTCGCCCAAGGCAGGGGTACCACGCACATGCATTTTCATTTGTATTTGTATTTGTTGTGGTTGTTGATGCCGCTTCTGGTTCTTGTTGCTTTTCTTGTTCTTGTTCGTGTAATTGTTCTCATTGTTATTCTGGTTGTTCCTATTGTTGTGCTTGTTGCTGCTCTTGCTCTTCTTTGTTGCTATTGTTGTTAGTCGGTGTTTGTGGTTGTATTGTTTGGTGTTTGTTGTTTGTTGTTTGTTGTTTGTTCTTTGCTGTTGCTGTTGCTGTTGCTTTTGATGTTGCTGTTTGCTGCTGTTTGCTGCTGTTGTTGTTGTTGTTGTTGTTGTTGTTGTTGTTGTTGTTGTTGTTGTTGTTGTTGTTGTTGTTGTTGGTGGTGGTGGTGGTGGTGGTGGTGGTGGTGGTGGTGGTGGTTGCTGCTGCTGCCACTGCTGCTGCTACTGCTGCTGCTGAATTGTTCTAGTTGTGCTTTTTGTTTTTTTGTGGTTTGCCAGTTTTGCATGCGTGTGCATGTGTTTTCCTTGGTTGCTTTTGACGCATGCCGGCTCTTGGTTCGGACCTCGGGTTCAGCTTTTGGTCCCTACGGGGCGCAGTGCACCTGTTGCTGAGATCCCTATGCCAGCGTATGCCCGGTGTGCCCTTGACCTACCATCGCCAGGAAGCAAGGATTGCCATGCAATACCAACAAACAAGTTTCTTCTCATTTCGTGGCAGCCGCAGGAGGCCGCTGCCTCTGCCGGCCGCGCCTTGGGCGCGCTGGGCGTAGCGGTGCTTGGAGCGAATGGCGGAGGCTTAGCAGTGCACCGCCAAGCGGGGCTGGTGCTGGCCCTCTACGAATGAGCGCCTGACCCGGCGCCTGTGGTTCTCTCAACCATGACCCGAAACACAAGATGGGTTAGTTTTTTTTGGGACTTGGCTAACTTAGGGTGGTGGAGGCAGTGGGAAACCAGCCGTGTTGAGGGGCCCCTGGCTTAAACACAACCTCGTACACGCCTGTGGTGACCTTCTACCGTTTTGTTGAGTGCTTTCCCATGAAATTCGACCAACAAGGCGCCTGAAATTGTTGGTTGGTTTTGCTTGGCCTCTGGGGGTGCTGGACAAATTCACCACCAAAATTGCCATCACCGCAGGGCGGACTACTGACTCTTGTTGAAGGGAAAAGCAAGGGGTGTGCCTGTTGATGTTTGAGTGCCAGTAAACTCCATCAGCACCCATGAGCCAAGCAGTCTCGGTAAGCAGCGAAGCGAGCCTTGCACGGATGCAGGCCTGAGTTGAGCGCGCGAAGCGCCTGCCCATATCTATTTCCATATTCAATTTTCCAGAAACAGAGGGTGAAAACGGCCGCGCCGCGCATTGTGGGGCACGGTGAGATGTCAAGTCGCTCGCCTAAACAGACCTCACTTGTGGCTTGTTGTTTGCGTGCCCTGATTTGACCGGTAAGACCGTCGACCTAACCGATAGCCCTTATTTCAATCGGCATGCATCTGTACAACATCAACTAGCTTGAGTGTCAGGCGCACAACATCGATGATGTGTGCATCGAGTCGCTGAGTGCCACTTGCCAAACGTGCCGCGGTTTTGCATGAGGACCCAACAACTCAAACCCGAGCTGCAAGGCCGGCCTTTTTGCCCCAAGGAGTCCCAATGTGGTGTTATGTTGGTTCTTTGCCGTCCCCAACCAATTCACCACACCAAGGCAGTAGACCTGCCAGGGTGCAAGATGTGTTTTTCTCACCAACATAGCTGGGCTTGATTGGCACTTGCAACGCGAGGTATTCCTTGGACAACATGTTCCCATTTCAGCGGACAGCCCTTTGGCGCTCCATGTCGGTAGGATTCATCCGTTGCAACGGATGAAGATAGCTTGTGCTCTGAGGTGAAGCTGAACCGCCAGCGCTTGGACCAATCCTTCGGCAATTTGACAAGGCGGGCCGACAGACCCCGACTGACATGACTTCCGCACTGGCGCCCTAAATCCTGGAGGATGGCCTCAGGGAAGAGAAGGACTGTATGGGATGTTTATGAGGGAAGGACCGTATGGCCAGCTCCTCGCTGTTTTAAGCTTTGGCCCCAATTAACGGAGGGACCCCACCATGAAACACGACTCCGAGTAACGCGGATGCCTCACGTAGGCTTGGCAATGAGATCGACCGTGTGAAGCGAGAGGATGCCTCCCGTCTTCAGGAGGAGCCACGTGCAAATCCCGGGTCACTGAGGAATGGGCGTGGCCCATTGGACCATCCCTGCGAGAAAGTCGCTTATTATCCAAGATTATTCAAGTCATAGTCATGATGCTTAATTCTACTGCCTGGCATGGGGAGTGACGCTCGCCGGTTTTCGATGAGCTGCACAGTATAAGTGTTGTTTATGATGTGGGCCGTGCTGCTTGTCACGTTGCTTCGGAAGAGAAAATGCAAGAGACCCGGCCGGCTTGAGCTAATTAGCGTGAAAGGAAAGAAGCACGTGCTCCTGCTGGATGTCTCAAAAAACAAATCATCCCTTAAAGCACCGAGAGAATGCTCATGAATGCCCATGCCCGGTGGGCAACAGTCCCAAGCTGTGTGCGAAGGTGCCCGCCAGTGAATGCTGCATCCCCAGATGCCAAGTCACCCAGAGAAACACGTAGACAGATCCGACCCCTTCTCCCTCATCCCTGAGGAGTACAAGCGCTTGGTGCAGGGCTTGCGGCAGGCAGGACAGCACCTTGGACCCATCTTGGACCCATCTTGGACTGATAACCAGCAGTCCGGCTATGAGTTTTACTACACCCCCCCCTGAAAAGTTGTTGGTAGACATAAGTTCCAACAAGCAAAGGGTTCTCAATAAATTCACATAGACATGTCAAGGATAACGTACTTTCAGGATCCCAGGAGGGTCGATTTGTGCAGCAGTGGGTGTATCATCGCTGCGTGTAGCCGGGAAGTTGAAGATAGGGACCGGGGTCATAGGGTGTAAAAAGCTGCGATCCTTTGAGCGCCCAGTCTTCAATGGCCCTTTGAAATTGCAGCAGATTTGGCGGGTATCTTGGACCAAGCAATGTTGTTTCTTTCGATGGGCCAATGGGACCCATGAAGCATTGGTTGTTCTGGCAGCATATCAATCGGCGCAAATGTGCAATCCGCTTAAGCATCCACAAAGCGTTTGGATGCGAAATCCAGTGAAACCAGTGACTGGAACCTAGTGCCACCCATATCCGAAGAAGACTTGCTGAATGTCCCTGTGCTTGTTGGAGATAGCTCTGGGGTCATCTCTATGCGGCGTCTATCTTTGTATCTGGCTGTGAATTTTGATGAAAGGGATGAGCACGAACCTCCAAACTGGCACATGGATCCCCATGTAAGCGATTTCCAACCAAGCCGCCCCGATTCAGTGAATCAACCACCATAATGTAGACAGTAGCCGCTTGTTCCGTTGTGGACATCTTGTTGTGCTCGCTTGTAAGAGGGCCCGTTGCATCACCAGAAAGGTGGTGCCAGGTTAGGCCAGTCACCTGCCTTGGATCAACAAAAACGCTGTGGTTGTGTGCCCTCTACACGGGCAGGCCTAGGTACCCTGGAATGTAACAGCATGAGGGCCTTGGAATTCCGGCTGGAGCCAAGCACGAGCTCCACCCATCCGGCCTCAGCCACAAGTTGTGCTGGGAACGTGCGCCAGGCTGCGTTTTCAGCCCCGGTGGTGCAAGGAAGGGTGATTGATGTTTGTACAAAACAAGGCAGCCTGCGCAGTTGCATACTACTTATTTTCCGATTCTCCCGACCAAAGCCAGCCGGTGGGGCCACCCAAAATGTGTGGTTGCCCCCTTGTTTTTCCTGCAAACCGCATCCACATGGAGGCCTGGCACCGTTTTGCCTGAGATCCCGAGGATCGATGAGGCCATGGCGGATCAGCTGCAAAGCCCAGTGCTGCCGGAGGATCTGGTCAGCGAGGCCATCCCCGGGCGCCTTGGAATTCCAAGCAATGTGCCACAGCTTTGGCGCCTTTGGGGTGGTGTGTGCGCTTTTTTCGCCCTGGTGTCTAGGGTCAAGAGGGTGGTGTCGTTTTGATTTTTGGCACGCGCTTGGGGATGGAAAGGGTTATGTGTTTGAGCCTTGGTCATTGGAAAGCATCAAAGGGGTGGAATCATAAAGGGCAAGCGACACAGGGTCCCAAGCAGGCCGAAGGCGGCCGAGAGGCCTCGGACGAGTTTTGGGGAGTGCTTTTGTCACATCAACAACATTTGCATTGTGGTAATGTGTACGCTCATTGCACGCAGCAGCCAAAGCAATCGCACAATGCTGTTTTCCAACCCGTGTCGCCACGAGTCGGGCAGCATGCGAAAACTCCGTGGGGAGACCCCACCCACAAACCAGCGCGCGAATCCAAGGAACATCCGCAGGGCGGAACATTTCATCGCCTTGCTTCGACGTGGCCCGGCCTACACACTCACCGTTGTTGACAAACTCAATCTGAAGAGGTTGTTCTAGCATCCCAACACCAGAGACTTTGAACGAGACTTTCATTCATGCACAGCACAGGCAGAATTGATGGGGCTGAGGTCAGGTTTGCATCTAGGGCGTGCAGGGGCGTCATTCTCAAGTCAGACCACGGCAGGTTTGCAACCTGAAGCCTGCGCCCGCTGCCAGCCAGCCTTAGGTATCGTCAACTTTTGCCGTCGCTATTTGCACGTGGAGCGCGCTCAATGCGAGGGTCCTCTGTCAATCTGCCACAAGCTGGAGCAGGATGCAGACACTTGGCCGGGAGCCAGCAGATGAGCACGTGTTGGCCTCACATTCAGAGAGGGCTGGCAAAGCTAAGGAAGTGGACTCAAAGTCTCTGAAATTCTGCCACGAGCGCTTGCGCTCACTGCCCCGCGGCAATCACTAGCCTGCATGTTCATGCCATTTGGGGCCTCAAGTGATCATCTCATGGGTGGGCGCTACTGTTGGTTTGACGGATGGCACATGGCAGCGTAGCAGCCACAGCTGTCACCCGACTTTATGTGATGCGTTTCTCATGCTGAGGTTGAACACGCTCCAGGTCGCAAACCTGGACGAGTTCAGTCCGATTACCAAAGTGGCGGATTTTGTCACGCTGCTTGGGACCTACTCGCAAGGCTTCACCATCATTGTGGATCCCTACCCAGAAGCACAAGGCCTGATCTGAACAGTGTGTCGCGGAATTAAATGCAGGGATCACATAAGACAATCCATTGAATACTGGGGCCTTGCTTTCATCGTAACAACAGTTAAACACTAAAACAGATACCCGCAGATGTCAATCAATTTCAGTCTTCACTCAGGGCTTGGTGTTGCCATCATATTTGTAGCATGTGGGCTTCAGGCAGTGTGGCTGTCTCACGTTCAAACCTTTGGAGCTTGGGGTAACCTAAGCAGACCTAAGCTGCTGACACAGGCCAGCTGTCAAGGCGATCGAATCTGGTAGAGTCTTAGGGGTATTAGGCTGGGTAAGGCTCGATGTTGAGCAAACAGCGGGGCGAGCACGAGTATCAGAGGAAGGTGGCATGCAGTTTCAACTGAGGTATCTACGACCCGACGGTTATCCTTAGATGCCTGGATGCCTCTATTGCAATGAAACCGGTGGTGAAGAGATATCAGTCTGTAGTCCTCACCTCTGGGACGATTTCGCCACTCGAGATGTACCCAAAGACCCTTGGTCGCATGGCGCCAGAAACTGACAGCAACACTGACCACATGGCCACTACACAAGTGACAAGACGGATACGGGGGCAGAGGTGAAGGACCTGGTTGAACCAGTCAGCACCTATGCTATGATCGCATGTGATCGCAAGGTAATTTGTCTCAAACTGATGTGCATTGCTCATGTTGTGATGCTCACTGTGTCTCAAGTCCAGGGATTGAAACGGAGGTGCCAGCGAGCCGAACCAACAAACGGGTGGGTAATGGCCTCGAAGACAGGCACCGGGGTGCTGTCTCCAGTGGGGAGGGGAAATGGCAGATGTGAGCGTCCCTTCACCTTGGGATCTTTGAAGGTGAGACATGTCCATGTTTTTTTGACTACCATGGATTTTGCAATAATGTGCAGGGGCGTTTGCTTTTTCCACACCTTTGATTGTGTCCAGCTCTTGCCTCCGCGGGCTCATGCATGCACAGTAAACTATATAAACACAAACACATACAACCCATAATAATCCTCAGAATATTGAAAAGGGACAGATGTAATCAAACGGGTTACGAATACTTCGGCATGAGTAAGCCAAGTTCGGTGACAAAAGATGATACAATAATGTGCGATTGAAACAAATACAATATCACCAACAATTATCTACCAAATAAAGTGATTGATATCAAATGCTGCGCTTTGAATGTAGTCAAACAAGCTGCATAGACAACGCCAGCCCAAGCAAATACACGTAGAACTACATGCGGAGACAACGAAAGCAATCGCAACAAGTGCACTCGCAGAGTCCCCAGCCTTCAACATCAATGGGTAACACCCTGAACATTGGTCGCTGGCCCCAATGTATTTCATGCCCATAACGGCAGAGAGGGAAAGAGAGAGAGAGAGAGAGATAGAGAGAGAGATATATATAGAGAGAGAGAGAGGGAAACAGACAGAGAGAGAGAGAGGGAGAGGGAGAGGGAGAGGGAGGGATTGAGAGATTGAGAGAGGGACATATATATATATATATAGGTATCTACTACTATAAGGGCCATGACATGTCATAGCAATAGTGCAAAGGTGACCCTCCACAACACACGCACGGAGCCTTAAAGGCAGGCCTAGGAAGACCATCTTCCTTTTCCAGATGCTTGTTTGTTGGGTACCTTCCGTTCCGTCCCAGGATCCTTGGTATGTCCAACGTGGTGGTCACCGAGTCCTTCTCCATCACCATGGAGCGCAAGTGCCTGTGCCCCCTAATCGTCACCCACGGCCCCGACCAGGCGGGTAAAACATCAACGCCGTGCGGCTTTTGGGGATCCATCCCTCTGGGGGGGGGGGGGCAAGGGAAAAGCGCGCGACTTGTGCGTGACGTGCTAAAGGAGTGAACGGCTTCGAATTTGAGGAGACCCTCCGGCATTTGCTTTTTAGAGCTTGAGATTTGGAGGGCTTGCTGCCCTTTCAAAAGACCAGGCAAGTACTGAACAGCCCACGACATGTAACCACCCCCGTTGAGTCCGGGAGCTCCAGGAAAGGATGGGTGGAGTGTGTTCCATTTGTTCCGCGCGTGGCTGAAGATTCCAGCTGGAGGAACGCGACTGAGGGTAACATGGGAAACATACTGGCAACCCCTGACAACTGGGCAAAGGCAGTTTCAGCGGAGGTTACGCAAGTTGGGATCGGACACCCCAACACCAATGTCACGAGGTGCCCATCTCATCGCGCTTCAGCTTGCGAGAAGCGGGGTCCTTACCGACTGGGGACCGGGTGGTACGCGAGCTGTTGGTCCTCAAGCACGGCCAGTTGTTTCCGGCTTTGGCTGGTTGCTTTTTGAATGGCTGGGAGGGACACGTGTGCCAACACATACCAACCCAAATGCCTGTGGCCTGAGGACCCCAGCGTGGTACAAAACTACGGGATGTTGCTGGAGCAGCTGGTACAGGAGATCCCCGACGGCTTGGCACCTCGCACTTTGAGAGGTCTCGGGTGGGTGCTTGGGACCTTTTCGGTTGGTGGCTTCGGTGAATCTCCACAGGGTTCCCTTTTTCTACCGGGGTTGCTGAACTGGTTGGATGGCGCAGCAAAAGCAACTGCTGGAAAAGGTGGACGAGGCTCTGGCTGGGTCAGCTCGCGATACGCGAAGCAGGCCGCATGTTTTGGAAGTTGGCTGTGTCTTGGCTTGTTGAGGTATGCTTCTTCACCTCGTACCGCTACCTCGAGCAGGTACTGGAGAAATGGTACGAGACAGGCGTGATGCTGGCCCTGCTAGTTTGGCCATGCGGATTCAGATGCTGAGCGCATATGTTCCTCTTTGATTTGCCTGTAGGCCAGCCAAGTTTGCCAACGAAATTGCTTCCGTGTGAGATTTCGTTGTTGCCCGTTGCGCGTGGCTTGCCAATCTCTGCATGTTTCGACCCGGGGGAGCCCGTGATGTGTCAACACTGTCTTTCTTCCGTGGCCCCGACAAGTCGTTGGATTGCCTAATGTTTGCCTGCTGAGTTACATGGAACCCAAAAAAGTGGACCCCGGAATGCGATTCCTTTGAAAACGAGGGCTTGTTGGATGCTGTTGCCCAGAAGTGCAGATCCATTGAACAATGGCAGCCCTTTGAGGCTTGAGCTGCTGACGCGTTCTGTGATCAAGCCTTTGCAATACTTAACTTACTATCGATGTGTGTGCGTTTCTTTTGCTCAGCATGAAGCGGTCGAGCCGTTCGAAGCCGCCCCTTCTGGCAATCCGGCGGTCGCAGGCGTCATTGCACGGGTACTGAAGCACAAGTTGGTCTTCATTGAGACCGCGGACGCTTGGCGTTTGGTGTACCAGGCTGCTGGAAGTGTGGCAGCGCAAGTAGGTTGTGTGCCGACAGCCATGAAAACGCAGGGTCAGATCCGGTTAGACATGAGGATGTGGTGGCCACCACCTATGCCCTCAATCTGTACCGCCAGGAGGGGTGTGGAGAGCAGTCGGGCAATGGGTTAGGGCTAGGGAGGGCCAACTCATGGGAAGAGAGCTGCGTTGATTGGTTACTTGTGGCATGGCACACCTAAAGGCGTGTGAGTGATGCGGACAAGTTGGGTGATAAGGCATAGGGAGCACGGCTCATCAACCATGCGCGTGCTTCTTAAAATAGGGACCCCCTAATATTTGCACACACACATATGTCATGATACGTATGCTTGTCTTAAAAAATAGAATTAACAAATATTGTATAATTATATAGTGTGTTTGTTGTCTGGTTTCGCCTAAAATAATTACCAACAGGGATTCCATTTTGCAAAACTCCCATGTGGTGAGGGCAGTCACTGGGTCCAGGCCTGCGACTCGGGCCAGGGCGCCGTCTTCTTTTCCGTGGCCCGCGGCAAGGCGGGATCCGAATTGCAAGCTTTGGGTATCATGGGGGCTGGGGGAGGGCCGGGGGGGGGGGGGGTGGAGCCCCAATAAGCCCCAAATAAAGCCTTATTCGGGGCTTAATAAAGGTTTATTTGGGCTCCCTCCTCCTCCCCTCCCTCCCCCCCAGCCCGGTAGGCAAGGTAAAGTCTTTGGGGCCCTGAGCCTTAGCCACATGGATGGTGGGGGCGGGTGGGGTCGGTGGGGTGGGTCATTTATTCCGACAAATCCCGGGCACGAGCCATGTACAGATTGAAAACCCAGAGGGTGCCTTGTGAGGAGATCTATGTTGTTGCAATGGGGTACGTGCGAGTCATGCGAGCCCTCACCGGCTTCAGAGCCATCGCAATTCGTTGGCTTAGGTCGCAGAAGGGATTGACTTTGACCGTCACTACGGGCGCTGCGTGGTGCTTTTCGGTGTGCCCTTCCAGTACACGCTGTCTCGCGAGCTGCGAGCAAGGTGCCGGCCATGTGTTGAAGCGGCCCACCCGTATCGCATAGGCACTTGAGGAATTATCGATTTGTAAAGCCCATGCTTTAGCCTAAGAATTGATGTCTGCAGGATAATCTACCGGGAGTTTTCTAAACCCCTCAGGCACCAATATTTGGCAGATATCACTGTATACTTTTTAGATGCGCATGGTTGCTAGCATCAGCTTTGCCTTGTTTCATTGCTGGGAGTGCAACCTCCATGCCCAAGCCTTGGTGGCCACATCAGCACGAGAAGCATGCACAGAATCGACTGAGCAAGATTTGGCTTTGTTGCTGTGTGTTGCTGCTTTTTCGTTTTACCATATGCCTTTTCACTCCAAAGGCTGCAGCACATATTATTTTGCAAGCCCCCGGCAACACCCGTTGCAGGCTGGAGTTTCTGCGCCAGCACTACGACATCAAGGAGTGGAGTGCTGGCGGCCTGCTGCGAGTTGACAATATGAAAATATGTTCGATTGGTTTGATGCTACGTCCTGTACTACTGCACTTTGTTCTAAGCCGAGGAAAACACTTCTCCGCGGTGCAAGCGATATGCAGTGAGTTGGAACACGGGCACTGGAGCAAACATGCAAACAAATCACATATGGTGCTGAAGGATGGGCTACCGCCTGCTCGGCTGTTGTTCGCACTTGCGGTTGGGTGCCAGGCTGCCCAGAAATTCACAACCATTGGTTCAGGGGCTGGTCGGAGGGACCGCCAAGTGTATGTGTGTGTGTGTTTCTCGCAGATGCTATCGAAAGAGGCCACCTATTTCAATGTTTTCCATTAGTTACCTTCCTGAGAGCAGGAATCTGAGTTCTTGAACTTCGACGCGATGCGGCAAGCTTCGCAGTGTTTGGGCCGAGTCATTCGATCCAAGCGCCGCATGATTGCAAATGGTTTCGCTGGAGGGTTGACTTGGTGCTGACATGCTTCCACCTTGCTGAAACAAACGCTAGCCTCAAGTTGCGTATTCTAACATTGCAGAGCTTCGGGTGTGTGTGTGTGTGACATTTGCTGGTGCAGCATGTTGCGTGCACAGTTGTTTGTGCATGTTCTGCGCTTGGTATGGCGCTAGCACCACTGACTGAGACGCTTATTTGTCTGTTTCAGGCCGGACTTGCTAAGCATTCATTTCGAGGGCAACGACTGTCAGCCTGCGGTCTAACTGCGATTCGTCAAACAACAGCGGTTGCCATTTCGAGTATAATGGACAACGCGGTGCTTGAATGCTGTAGCTAGCATTCTTTGGTGCTGACCAGGGGGGTGCAGGGGCATGAGCTGCTGCCCGGTTGATTCATTGTCAAGCTGTGCCAGCGCCACCAAGAAGTAAGATACCACCAATTGGCGCCAAGGCGATTATGGTGTCATGATCTTCGCAGACCAACGGTATGCGCGCAGCGACAAGCGTTCCAAGATCCCGGATTGGAGCCTTGCCAGTCATCAAGAGGGCCCTTTGCGGGGGATCAAAGGAGCCGGTGACATCCAGCAACTGTGAAGCCCCTAAACGGGCATGGGAATACACCAATGCCCGACAAAACTAGATGACAAGAGGCTCGGGAAAGACTGACAAATGGCTGTGGGTCAAAAATAGGTACCCAAAATGGAACCCCGGTAAATGGAAACATGGACTAAAATCTGCGGTCCCCTGGTGGTTTAATTTTGACCCATGCCCAAAAGTGTTTTTTGATGAGGATCCGCAACTTCTTGGAGCCCGGACATGTCTTCATGGCCACCGACCTGGCAGTGGAGACAGCCAGAAACTTTTTGCTGCAGATGTCGCAGCCCTACGCCGCAAGGCCGCAGGGATGTGGGCAGGGCCTTTCACCCGTGCCAATATTTGCAGAGGGAACTACTGTATATACTTTTGGGGGACCTCTTTTTGCGGTTCCACGTTATTTTGTAGGAGGGTGGTCTTCCAAAAGGGTCTGTGCGCCAAACCATGTTATATGACCAATTCTGGAGAGGGGACTTGCCTCAACTTGCCATGTTCAGGGCTGAGGCAGAGCTTTTGAACAATAGTTGCGATCTTTCAACCGGCAGTTCTGCTTTGCGGGCTCTTGAAGCTTTTCACGCTGGACGTACGCGGAATGCGAACGGAGCTTTCTCACGGTTCGTTGGCTCGGGTGCTTCGAAGAGATTGCCGCAACCGTTCCATTGGGCATGCGGCTGGCGCCCAGGAAGAGAAGAAAGGCGTCGGGGCATCGGTGTTGACGCCCGAGGCGCTCAAGGACAGGTGCGTTCAACGGCTCCGTATGCTGCGGCTGCGCTGCGGGGGTTGGAGTTCGATCCTGGTGTTGGGGAGTTTCGGGGCGCAGGGACCCTCTCAAAGAGAGTTCGCGCACTTTTAGCAGCTCTACCCATGTCTGAATGTCCACTTTGGGATCTTGCAGGGTTGTTGTCCTGAACCTGATGGCGTTGTTGTTGCCACACTTTGGCTACTGTCCTGGAGTTTGGATCATCCTTTGTTAAATGTTGCATGTTTGCGCATGTGTTTTTCTGCATGGAGCCCTTGTCACCATCTTCCAAAGCAAAGTGAGAGCTAAGTCATGTTGCTTCTCGTGGCTTCTGCTCATGCGTAGCTGCAATCTAGCCGCAGAAATCAAAGACAACTGACAAATTGAACATCCACATATGCAACTTCCTGCAAACACGAACCCCGTCCTTCACCAGCCGCGCGCGCTGTTCGCATTTGAACCGGGCTTGTCCTTTTTGGGCCACGGTAAGCTATGTGCTTCTGTGGCACTTTGGTCTCGGACGATGCTTTAGAGGAGCTGCAGGCGGGCGAGGTGCAGAAGCTTCAGGGACTAGGCCAGAACGAGATGCTTGGATGCAAGCGTGGCCCGTCTCGTGCCTGCAGGCCTTCGTGCCTGTGGGCGGGGGTTGGGGCCTGGGGTGAGGTTCGGGATGGCCGCACTGGCCCAAGCAGTGTTTGCTTGGACTGGCATGGGGTGCCGTGCAAGTCTTTTGTCTAGTTTGCAATCTGAGTGCGCGCCGTTGCGGGCAGGGAGGGACACACGCCAGGGGTCCTTGAACATGTTGAAACTGGAGCGTGGTGTCCAGTTTGGATTGTTCTGCATCGATGGTATTTCCGAGCGAAACTAGATGCAAAGCATTATGAGCTTGAAATATTTTGCAGTCAGCAATCAAGGACTTACTAAATTGACCTCGCCCTTGTTGTCATGAGAGAAAAAAGAGAAACCGCTCAATGGCAATGTGAAGATGGAATGCTTTCAAAGCCACCGCTTTGCACATGGTTGGTACGCCCTTCTAAGATGGAATATTATTTGCACACACCAGGGCTCTCCCTTTGCAGGATCCATGTTGAGGAATTTACTCTTAAATCATGACTGCAACCTGAAACTGCTTCCGACACTTTGGTGCAGGCGTCCCCCGTGTCAAACCATCTGCAGGATCGAAGGGCCTCCGGACAAGAAACCTCGGGTGAAGCTTCGCTGAGGCAGGTCCTGGGCAGTCAACTGGGGATGGGCGACCTGAGAAGGCGTTTTTGGGTAAACAGCTGAGGTCTATGTTCAGGTAAGCCCTTTTTCTTGTAGAGGGTAGGTGGGAAGCCCCCCCTAACCTGCAAACCACCAATCCCAGCCACCAATGAGAGAGGGGCTGGCCCAATGGTGTGAAACAGGGCTTTCTCCAGCTGTACTTGGATCTTGGGGAATCGCAAGGTGTGTGAGCATGTGGGCAGGAGTCCAGAAGAAATCAGACAAACAAGGCACGAGGAAATCAGGCATTCTCCCACTGCAGCTTCGCTGCCACTGCAGGATTTACCCTGTATTTAGAATATTTCGTATGACTGGCATGCCGCTGGGCTTGTTCCAAGGCAGCATGACGTGTTTGACATTGTTGGCAGTTGGTCCATGACGAGTTCCAGGCCACAGGCCATAGACGTCGATGTCCGTTGGACGCCAACATGGCCGGGATCTCTCATTCGATGTCACGTTTTAACAGATTCGTATGAGGCGCTAAGGTTCCAGGTGAAAGTTTCAAGAAGCTGCTGACTGCGAGACCATGAAGGGTGTATGACAGTCAAGCTTGATCCCGCCGATGTTGCATTGGGGCCTGCCGCAGCACGTGCTTGCGTGTTGGTGTGGGCGTGGGTCTGGGTGCGACGGCTTGAGTTGTGAGAGCCTCGCCCTCGCAATCCTCCAAAACCGCAGCGCTGGGTTTCCAAAACGAGCACAGAGCATGGTCATTTCCCCGGAAATGAGCAGCACGTTGGCCAGTTTGCTTTGTTTTAATGTGAAGTAGCGAGCAAAGGACCTGAGAGGTCTGCAAGGACCAAGGACCAGCCAGTGCAACCGTAGGCAGATCTTGGACATGGCCATGAGCCCAATGAGGGCCTGGGTGAGCCCGCGCCCTGCAAGGCACCTGCATGTGGAATTGTGAAATCTTAGGGCCCTATAGTACCAAGTAGTTTGTTCCCATGGTGCTCTCAGGCGCACGGGTGACGCGCGTCCGCCAGCATGTGCGTGTGCAACACATGCTTTGCTCGGCAAGTGCCTAGGCAAGTTGTCACAAACGCTCTGCAACTGGAGGCCTTGCTGTTTGAACAGCCCCTGCATCGAGTTGCAGCAGATGTTTTGAACACATGTGAATTCCACTGGGCCGAGCCGCGTCGTGGCAATTCTGCTGTGAAGGGAGGCGGAATCCCGGAAGGTGTGCAGAAGCCTTGTACAGACTGCACGGGTTCGCGGCGCAGTTTTCCCAGCCGCTGGGCCCGGACAAAGCAAGCAAGCCCAGGAGGCAGGGCAGTGACGTAGGTCACGCTTGTCCAGGTTTCTGGCTAGAAAAAAGCGGACTGATGGAGAAGGGCCAGGGAATGTACGAGTTTTGCTGATGTGATCACCCTTGTCGCTGCAACCTCGGGCAACCGTCGAGAGTCTAACTCTTGGCGGGGCAACATCGAGAATGAATTGCTTGTTGCATGATTCTGAAAAAAAAATGGGGGGGGGACTGCTTAGATCTGGGTGCGTTGCTCGTTGCTGATGTTGCACTGCATGGCGGGCTGCTCTCTTGGGAAGGCCCGTGGTTTTTGCTTCCCCGCCGCATCGCAGGAAGAAGGGCCATCGATTTGGATCAAACCAAGATCTTTTGGCCGCGAAGCTGCCATGGTTTGGGGAGTCTATGCCAAGAGTTGTGTGAAGACCATTGGCACTGCTGTTAAGAGTTACAGTTATACCTTTACAGCAAGTAGCCCGACCTTTTTGCCCACCATTGCTCCTGTTGCATTCGCCTTAGGGCAACGCTGCTGGCGTTTGCTGGCACGCTGCAACCCAAAAGCGCTAGACTCCCCTGGCAATATGCGGCCGCTGCCGGTGCTGCCACGCTGGCCTCATGCGCGGCTGGTGCTGCGGAGGGTGGAGGTCAAGGACGTTGCAGTTGAGCGCAGGGCGGAGCTTGTAACTCTTGGGGCCTGTGGCTCCTGCATTGTTTTTCTGCGAGACATATCCGCGGACAATGCTTTTGGTCAGCCAAACGCTGGGAGCGCTCCGGCTGTAGGGCTGGGCCTTGCATCAATTCAATCGTAGCTGTGCTGGGAAAACACGCTTCAAATGTCCTGAAGCTGGAAACTTATCCCTGTCCACACCCAGCATTTTTTAACCCGTACGGAGCTAGTGTTGTCCTGCTGCACTAGACAGGACGGGAGGTCAGGTTTTCCCAGGCAAGTTCGTTGAGCGGTTGCAGTCAAGCAAGCTCGCTGGGAGTTCCCGCCCAAAAGCTGATCGCCTTAAGCTACGTCTTGTGATCGCCCCAAGTTAGGCTGTCAACTCATCACATGGCTTGGCGTGGCGTCATGACAAAAAGTGATTGTTTCAGGTAGGCAAGGGACCTGTGTAGGCATTCGGAAGAAGACAAGAGAAGGCCTCTTGAGACTAAAAGTGATTTCGTACAATCCACAACCTTTGAGTCCCCCCATAGGAGACCAAAGCGGCATGTGGTTTTTCTCAATTATCGAATCTCCCCTTGGCAACAACATGTAACCCATCAAACTAAGCGTTTGTTTAGTTTGGAATCCCCTTTCGTGGCTTCTGGATTTTGCCGGCTTCAGGTCAGAACTCTCCAGCGATCCCCTAAACCATTAGAGGAATCCACTTTTCGTGGTGAATTTGCCTGGGAGCACCCCTTAAACAAGAAGGTTCTCCGTCAAGGAGGGAATGACCCCTACCAACCATCCCTTGTGGTTTTTTTCAAGGATTCCCTTCCGGTTCATTCTGCAAACGCGACGTTGATTGGGAAGCCCGGATGAAGCCCATCCTGCTTGCGGGGTCACCAAAGGCCCCCAAATCAACTCAAAAACAATCAGGGGTCCTGCTTCCGGGGTTCACAAATTACTGAGCACATGGGTCCAAACTGATTTCGAAGCAACAAAAAAGAGAGAAGCAACAGACTAAAACAAACAAACTGTTTTTGGGGAACTTCCGCCCGCCCCCAAAAAAAAAAAAAAAAAAAACAAGCAAAAAACAACAAAACAAGAAGGAAAGGAAGGAAACAAACAAAAAGCTATAACATGTAATCAGAGCACCGGAACAAGAAGAAAGGAATCACACCAAGAGACCGGGGCGCCTTTCGGAGCGGCCGAGAAGGACTTGAAGGGCTGCGCGGAGCTGGAGGCAGCCTCCTACCCGGCCGACGAGGCTTCACCAATTAGCGAGTCACGGCAAACGTTGTCAGGCAGGCTTTAGGGGATGGGACGGTCAACTGTAAGACTCAGGTAACCCTTAGTTGGGTGGTTTGGATGGTGGTTTGGATTGGCTTGGGGATTTGAACCTGGTAGAGGGTAAATGAGAAACCCCTCCCTAACCACCAAACCGCCAATCCAAACCACCAATTGGAGGGAAGCTGACCACTTGCCATTCTGCAGGTAGATTCCTTTGCAGAAAGCCTGTTGAACGGCCCAGGCAACTCATCCCAGCTTTGTTGAAGGGACCTGGACGTGTCTGGCTCACTGCTGCTCACTCACTGCTCTCGGAGGTGAATGGGCCGGCGGCCTCGACATCCCGCAATCGCTACTGATTTTGAAGCAATCAGGGCCAGCTGTGCCCAGTGACATCAATCACAGAGGGCGATGGCGGACAGCCGACAAGTCAGGAGGAACATGATCTCCAAAGCGGAAACCTCGAAACCGCAGTGATCGCTCCATGTGGCTCTTGGTCGCGCACGTTTCTGATTGCCAAACAGAGTTGCACAGTGTTGCCGAGCACCCTCCCGATGCATGCCAAATGAATAGTTGCCCTGCCGTTTTGCTGCATGGTTATGTAAGTGTGCCCCTTTGATGAGCTATGTGCAGCTATGAATTGTTCAAGGGTGAAGCCGCCCTTGAAGCTATGACACGATGTAGTTGTCTAAAATTGCAGTTATTCAGCGTCAGATGTGTTTAACCGCCGACTTGCTGTGTGGTGGTCACATTGATGCAGGCATTTCCAGGCAAGTAACCTCCCTTAAAGCCACTTGCAGCCCTCCTGAGGGGGCATTTCCAGCAGGTACCTGAAGACAATTGTAATCATCGGACATTTGAAGCCCCTGGACAGGCTGCATCGCCTGAGGGGCTGGCAATGCGGCAGAAAGTGGCGGGCGACTTCTTTTGGGCTACCTTTGAGCCTTGGGATGAAGCTGGGTTGGCTAAGCTTGCTGGCTCCCAGAAAATCAACTAGGGTTTTGGCAATGAACTGGGGGATTCCCCGGGATCTTCGGAGCCAAAGCGGCCGTTGGGCTGGCCAAAGCGGAAGTGGCCAGGCTTCAGGCCCAGTTCCACCAGTGCTGAAAGTTTGACAGCCAACTGAGTTCCAAAGTTAGACAAAGCAAGCCTTGCAGCTTAGTCACACGAACTGCACTGGGTAAGTAGCGACAGCCATTGAATTGATAGCCCCCGCCGCTCTATCAAGGAACAATGCAGAAAGGCCAACACAAGATCCCTTGAGATCATTGTGTCGACCGCGCATTGTTCCAAGCAAGCCACAGCCTTAGCGGGATGCACGTAGCAACCAGAAAAGAAGTGGCCACCCTTTGAGGTGGGAGATGCGCCTGTTAAGCATGCCTCGGTCCTCTGGCGCTTGGTTTCATTTCTTATGCACTTATATGTGTGGGGCTTAGGCGCTTGGCAAGCCTTGCCCAGACTGCCACTGCAGCTCTGACAATTGGGGTCTCTGAAGTTTACTTCTCACTGGCCGGATGCCTGTGACATGAAGTAACTGGTGCCTTCCCCCGCTTTGGGCGGTTTTCGATCTAAAAGAACCACACGTCCTTCACAGGCCCAAGGGGCCACTGGGCGCAGATCTGCGCAGCACCGGAGTGTCCGAACCAAGGAGGGTGATGCTCTGGCGGGCTTCGTGTGTGGCACCTGTGCGGACGGCAGCACCCTGACACACGAGTCCATGGAGAAGCACATTCCGGGAGGCAGGAAGCGGCAACCTTCCATAGCGCCATAGCATTGGACTGGCCACACCTGGGTTCAGTGTTGCGTTGCGGCCTGGACAAGGTCCAAAGGGCCCACGCCCACCGTGACAGCTTAACCATAACTGTCATAGACTGGTGTTGCCTATGCACGTAGAAGCGGGCTGCATCAGCACTCGGGGGGCAAAGCCGACGTCCTTGGTACTGGAGGGCGGCGTTGGATCAGACCTGTGCTTTTTGTTCCTCTACGTGAGGTGGCGACGAAATTAGTGGTTCCCATTCCGAACGGCTGAAAGCTTTCTACGAGGGGCCATTACTTGTTGACGTTTCAGTCCGCATCCAGATCATCCACGGGTCGTGTGTGGAATGAGCATCGCAGAAGCATGTGGATATCACGTTGCATTCGCACGCGGTTATCTCATTTTTGCTTACAGAGATAACTTTGGAGAGGGGGAGGGAAGATGATCGACCCTTTTGCACTGCTCGACAATTCTTGGTGTAGCGCCAACGTGGATCCACGGAGGGCAGGAAGCTTTGGCCAGGTCGACTCCTCTGCATCCACTCCGTGGTGGTTCAGGAAAAGTTCCGACGTCGAGGCTGCGCATACTCAAATCCAGGTAGAAGGTTAGTTGGGGGAGGGGGGTCGTTTTGGGTCGAAAAAGGTGCGGGTGGTTTGCCCTTCTTGATGTCTTGGGTGGGCTCCGATCCCAGGCCTTTCCGACCCATTGGGGGCTTGCGAGGCCTGGCCTTAGCCATGCTCCGGGAGTACGTCAAAGCAGTGGCCGCAGTGCCAGGCGGGGCCCGGGATGGCATCAGAACCGAAAAGGCGGCTCAATGTCATGTGAATAATAATTTTCCCTTTAGGTGTTGAAGTTATTCCGAAAGCAGACTCATTTGCAAGTCACACAGGCCGGCGCAAAAAGCTGCTTGGCCCACATGTGCCACGTGGCTTGTGAACCTGTGGCCAGCTGTGGCAGCATTCCTTGTTCAAAAGCCGAGCACACGTGTTGTTTATGTGCTGCGCGAATGATTTGCGTGGCCGGAAACTAGACCAATGTTGGCCGGAAACTGGACCAATGTTAAACCGTCGTGTATAAATTGCGCCGAAGGCTCTCGCTCCGCTGCCTGCCCAGAAGCAGTCACTTTGGGTGTTTGCCAAAATGGGGCAACCCCGCAAATGGGTGGGTTTCCCTCAGAAACATCCAGAAGGGGTCCGATACTTTGAGAAATGTTCATTTCGGCTATACAAAGGATGCTATGGATGCTGTGTAGCCAATGTCAAGCAGAGCGACACGAGCACAAAATCGCACACGTGCGCGACGGCCGAATCCGGGCCTTAACAAGGCTTGCTGCCTTGGTGCCCAGCGTCAACTCACATATGCTTGTGTTTGTGTGTGTGGTTTGATCGGAGAGGCCTAAGTGTTTCTTGTTTCTTTAACTTCCAACATGTTGAGTCAACTGGGGGGGAGTTGCCGCGTATCGCAAAAACACCTGTTTTGTCCATTGTTTTTGCGGCAAGGGGGCGAGGGGGGAAGGTCATGAGGGTCACATGAAAAGTGGACCAAAGTCACACCATGGCAAGCACTTGCCGCACTTTCAAGACCTTTGCTTCCTCGCACCGCAAAAGCAGCAAGGCGGCAGCATGATTTACTGTCCCGCCTGCACAATTGCACCCTGACTTGAAGTGGAGGGATATCGCTTGGCAAAAGGCGTCATTGGAAGCGCGGACGCCCCCCACGGTTGATCCAACATATTGTTCACCAAGGAACAGCCAAGCGTAGGGGACAGGGATACATGGGATGCTGGCAAAGAACCATGGGTGAACAGAATGCCAAAGCATCTCAGATGGAGTAGGTTCCAGGGTTGGGATCTGCCATTTCCTGGGTTAATATTTGTGACGGGGGAGATGGATGACATGATGGATGGTGAGTGGGAGAGAGAGGAGTGATGGAGGCTGCATCTCTTTCTCACTCTTTTTCTCCCTCTTTCTCTCTCTTTCTCTCTCTTTCTCTCTCTTTCTCTCTCTTTCTCTCTCTTTCTCTCTCTCTTTCTCTCTCTTTCTCTCTTTTTCTCTCTCTTTCTCTCTCTTTCTCTCTTTTTCTCTCTTTTTCTCTCTCTTTCTCTCTCTTTGTCTCTTTGTCTCTTTTTCTCTCTCTTTCTCTCTCTCTCTCTCTCTCTCTCTTTGTCTCTTTTTCTCTCTCTTTGTCTCTCTTTCTCTCCTTCTCTCCTTCTCTTTTTGCTCTCTCTCTCTCTCTCTTTCTCTTTCCCATTTTTCCTCTCTCTCGCTCTCTCTATCTCTTTCCCTTTCTCGCTCTCTCTCTCTCTCTCTCTCTCTTTGTCTTTCTCTTTCCCGCTCTCTCTCTCTCTCTTTCCCTTTTTTCTCCCTCTCTGTCACTCTTTCTCTTTCTCACTCTTTTTCTCCCTCTTTCTCTCTCTTTCTCTCTCTTTCTCTCTCTTTCTCTCTCTTTCTCTCTCTTTCTCTCTCTTTCTCTTTCTCTTTCTCTCTCTTTCTCTCTTTTTCTCTCTCTTTCTCTCTCTTTCTCTCTCTTTCTCTCTCTTTCTCTCTTTTTCTCTCTTTTTCTCTCTCTTTCTCTCTCTCTCTCTCTCTCTCTCTCTCTCTTTGTCTCTTTTTCTCTCTCTTTGTCTCTCTTTCTCTCCTTCTCTCCTTCTCTTTTTGCTCTCTCTCCCTCTCTCTTTCTGTCTCTTTTTCCCAGCAAACCTTTTCCTTCATATCATTCCTCAATCTGGAAAAAGGCTAGAGGGAAGGAACAGGCGAGCCCGTGCCTAAGATCTTGAATGGCTCGGAGAGAGAATTGCCACGTGATGCAACTCCATTCTTTCTCCATCCCATGCCAGCCCCAAATGATAGAGAGAATGGGCTGTCCGTCCTTCATGTGCATCTAGGAGTTAACTCGCGTCGCTCGGTTGCAGGCGCACCAACGGCCTCCGCCCTCATTGCCAAGGCCGGTCTGGTGTCCCTCTATGTGCGGCTCGGCTGACGAACCGGTTCAGGTGTTGACAGCGTGCGCAACGTGCGCTCTGCACATACGCAAAGCTACCTGCGCAACGGGGGGATGGAATGACGAGAGGGAAGCGACCCCTGTTGAAGTCTCAGGGCCTGCGCACTGCACTTTGTACCCTGCAGTGCAGGTAGAAACAACCAACAGCGCAAGCACGGCACAAGAGGCAGCTGAAACGAGCCATTGCGACCTCCGTTATTTTTCCTCAAGCCTAGCGGTTGTGTGTAGACAGAGTGCAGGAGGCACGGAGGGCGCTGCGATTCGCATCTCCAGCCGGTAGCATTTGATTTGTGCAGTTCACCTGTTGATTGTTTTGCCCGCAGATTTGTTCTTTCCATGCATTGGCTTGCGCAATCAAGCCGGGATGTAGAGATTTATTCACTTGCGGGGCCTGTCGTGATTTGTCTCAGAACCAAAAGGAAGCCGACCACTGATACTGCCCGTGACACTCAGTGCATTGCAGCCGTTGACCAAGACAATGCTCCGCCAAAGCCGCGGCAAAGGAAATAGTTACTAGCGCATCCTGTCCATGCAAAGCACCACTAAGAGATGCACAGTGCAGTGAGGCTGTGCATGCCATGTCCGAGCTGAGCATGTGTTTGTTGAGCAATTTTCCCGAGGCTGCTGGCAGTTTCAACGAAGCTGCTTCTCTCACGGGGTGATTCCCATGTTCGCAACTGTGCAACTGGTTTCCCATGTTCGCTACACAAACAAACCGCAACACGCATCACATGCCCAGGCGGCCCAAAGTGGCGTTTGCGCCTGGCGTCCTCCGCCATGCTACGCGCCCTCCTCCCGCGCCTCCCGCGCCTCCCGCGCTTCCCGCGGCGCAGCCTCGCGGCCGCGGCTTCGGTTCGGCCGACGGCGGCCCGGCCACGGGCCGCCGGCGGACGACGAGTGGAACAGCTGCCGGTGCCGGAGGTGGTAAAGCAGAACTTGCTGGGAATGGGCGTCTCCAAGCTCTTCGAGATCCAGTACAAGGCCATGTATTAAGTGCTTCAAAGTGCTTGCTTTTGGAGAAGATGTTGGTCACTGGTGACCAGATGGAACAACTGACTGAATCGCTGGTGCGGATTTTACTTCAGATGGGTGAAATTCACTGATTGGCGCATGTGTGCTAGCGGTGATTCACTATCAGGGGTAACACGAGTTTGCTTTCATTTTGGTCATCCTTATAGCAAGGCAGTGGTTTGTGATTCGACTAGCATCATTCGACAGTCGGATGCCCAACTACCCAGCCACCCAAGTTCCCATCCATGTATTTTCCCCAGTTTGGTTGGATCTAAGAAGGACTTTGGCCCTTGGTCAGCCAAGGCTTTTGAGCCGATCCTCAGGGGCAAGAGCTTCGTGGGGCGCTCGCAGACGGGCACGGGGAAGACAGTAGCTTACCTCCTGCCCTTGCTGGAGCGCATGCGAAACGAAAAGATGTCTGCGGCTCACTCACTATTGATCTTGGTGCCTACCCGGGAGCTCTGCAAACAAGTGGGCAGCAGCATTCTGTCTTTGTCCGTCCACGCGGATGTTGCCTTGGTCTATGGAGGGCCCTCCCTAGACTCTCAGGAGCAGCTGGTACGCTTGGGCGCCACTATTGTGGTAGCCACTCCCGGCCGGTGCGCGCGACTGATTGAACGAGGCGCGCTGCAGACGCAGAACGTGCGAGCCTTGGTGGTGGACGAAGCGGACGCCATGTTTGGCCCAGAGTTCGTGGGGCGAGTCGAGCGTGTTTTGAATGGTGCAGCCAAGCCAGGATTGCAGCAAGTCTTGTTTTCAGCATCTTTGCCCAGTGATGTGCTGTCACTCATACAGCGGTTCTTCCCAACCCACGAGTTTGTAGATTTGGTGGATCGCCACGGCACTCCTGGCGATGCGGTGGTGAAATCGGTTGACCACAGACTGTGCAAGGTGCCTGAGCGGAGTTCTGCTGCCCGGGCCCGGGTGTTGCTGCACGTGCTGAATGAGCAGTTGAACTTGTCAGGCGGTCGCTGCATCATTTTCGTCGACACCACCTCAGAGGCCAGATCGCTACTTGCCCACCCGGCCCTGGATCGTCGGGCGCGCGCCGTGCACGGAGACTCCAGCGCCCAAGAGAGGGACGGCACCTTGTCCTCTTTTGCCAACCAGGAGTTCGACGTTTTGATCGCCACGGACATCGTGAGTCGCGGCATCGATTTCGCGGATGTCTCGCTGGTGCTCCAGCTGCATCCCCCCAAGGAGCCCACGCAGTACGTGCACCGATCCGGGCGCACTGGGCGGGCAGGGAACAGCGGCACCTGCGTCACCTTCTACAACGCCTCGGAGCAGAAGTTCCTTGTTTACTACTATAGTTGGATCATTGGGCTTTAGCATATATTTTTTCCGGGGGGGGGGTTGTCGATCATATTCCCACTAGCAAAAACTGAAAGAAACATGTGCACGGGCAAAAGATCCACAAAGGTTTGTGCAACGGGTACGGGACTTCACCAAGCATGACTTCGCCATGCTGCCAGTGCCTGGCGGGGTTGCGCCAAATTTGTGAGAGAAGGACACCCACATGTTTTTTTTTTTTTTTTTTTTTTTTTTCATGTCCTCAAAAATGCCATTGTTTGAGTTCCCCTTGAAGTTTGAAGATTTGATAGATGCAACCGCGGCCGCACATGATGCCAGCCCCAGGCCCTATGGATATCCACCACGCTGCTGTCAGCCGGCTGTTGGAGCAGCTGTTGAGCGTTCAGCCTGAAGAGTATGAGCAAGTCATGGACGAGGCGACGCGTCTGCTGGAGGAGACTCGAAGAACAGCAAGTGTGATTCACTAGGTCCCCCAGTAGTGCCCTTTTACCGTTTCTGTTTTTGGGGAGGGTTCCCCTACTAAAATAGACTACGGAAAAAGGGTACCCTTATTCTATCCTCTCTACTGGAGGACCTAGTTTATCTTCAGCCATCCCAAAAGTGCGGACTTCATAGTGAGGATGTTGACACTTTGGGGGGGGGGTGGCAGTCTGACGTTCCGGCTTCAAAGGGTGTTGTCTCACGTTTGGGTATGTTGCCAGCCCACGTTTTGTTAAGGGGGTTTGTGAGCAAACTTGCATCCCCTCAACACTGTCAAAGGAACACTTCCCTGTAGGCTAACGGGAGGGCGTTTCTTTTTGTGTAGGCACGGAGTTTCAGAAGTCCCTGGCGCCCGTCAGTCAATTTCCCCCGCCCGCACAAGAACCTGAATCTCACCACGTGAGCATGTTTGTAGAGGAATCTCCTGTTTGAGGGATCTGGTTTCAATTTTGGTTTGCACTAGCAGTTTGCTCATGTGCCTTGATTTGCACATGCCCCGCCAGCGGATGGATCTGGTGGCGTTAGGAGCGAGGGCCGGTGGTGCTGGCGACGGCCATGGCAGTGCTGGACAGCCGCCACGCGGACCTGCAGCGGTCGCTGAAAGACCGAGTCTCCCTGCTCTCTGGGAGACGCCCGGCTTTGGGGGTTTGGCGGGTTTTGCGGGTGCGGGATGCATAGAAGATGTCAAAATCTCCATGGGCCATCTTCCATGAAGGGAAAGCTTATAGCTTGTTCCACCTAGTGTGTGTGACCCCTGAACCTGAAAGCGGAGAGAGATTTCAGAATGGAGGATTTCTTCCACCTCACCCCTGTTAGTTTCATTTTGGACAGTCCCATGTCGACCTGTCTTCCCCCCCCCCCCCCGGCCGCCAACAAACAAACCCGCCCCCGAAACAAGCCCGCGAACACATCCCAAACGCCAAACACCCCAAACAGATCCACAACACACCAGAAATCCCCCAAACACTCCCTGCAGTGATGCCACCTTAATTAAGCCGCTCATTGGCTCGATCGTCTCTTGCCCCAAACGCATAGATGCAAAATCATCTTTGCTTCACAAGAATGAATACCCCCCCCCCCTTGCCAAGCACAAAGCCGCTTCAAATCGCAATTTGCCAAGTAAGTAATTGAGATAGAATGGCTTGAGGCATCAGTTCAATAGCTGGACATCTTATTTGTTGATTGTGTGCATGCATTAATATGAGGAAGTGACCACCACTCAATGGGCATCAACACTGTCGATTCCGTGTTTTGTTTATTTCCCGACCTCTTTCAAGCACACATGTTGATTTCCCCAAGTTTTTTTAGGAACCCCCCAAAACAGATGGATGGATTGCAAAACAAGTCAGACTCTTCAGCACCCCATTTCACAGCCCGAGGAAAGGGCTACTTGTGCCTCTTGGCCAATGACCCGGAGCACCGGGTGGCCACCACGGAGGGTGAGGCCATGCGTTTGGTGCCCGTGCTCTATTGAGCACATGCTTCGTTTTTGTCCAAACCTTCTTCTTTTTTTATCACCCTCCCACGAATTACCATTGAACCTGACAGGGGTCCTGGTTTGGACAATGTTCCTTTTAAAGGTGCCCCCTCTCAGGTTCCATGTCAATTGGTGGGAGGGTATTTGTAAAATACTGTTTCACGAAATAATCAGCAAACCTCTTTTTTCAGACCTGCTGGGGCACCCAGGTGGGCTCCATCCTCCCCAAGCCTGCGGTGGTGGGGCGGGTGGCCAGGGTCTCTGGGGGCTGGGCGCTGGATGTGGAACACCACTACGCCGGCAAGCTGGTGGAGGACGGCCCAGCGGTTGACGAAATCCAACCAATGGAACCATTTTGGGATACCCATTTTAGTCTATTTTAGTGGGGATCTGGATGTTCACTGGGGGTACGGGGTTTTGACCCATGGCCAAATAAACCTGCCAGCGCAAGTGGGTAAATCCCGGTATTTCCATTTGAGATGGATGAAACTCCTTGGGAATTTATACTTGTTGATAAACCTACCCAGCGTGGATTTTGTACATCCACCACACCGAGGTTATGACTTGCTTACAGGTCCAAGGCCAAGTCCTCTTGGGTACTTGTACGTGGGCAAATCGCTTTGTTATTGGCCACTCACTGCCGGACGTCTAAGTTTGACAGCTGCTGCTGCTCAACCATTGCCGCCATGGGGCAAGGAGGCTTTGGGCATGGTGGTTCGGGGGCAGTGCTTCTGATTTGTTGGGCCAGCATTGGAGCCCCAGACCAAAAGAAAGAAACCGTGACACGCCATTTCCCCAGACAACAACGTGACACGCCATTTATTGCGCAGGCTTGAGATGATGGCCATGTCAAACAAGTCAAGCAGGGTAAAAAGCGAGAGCTTAACATGTTGGCAATGAAGGGCTGCCACTTTGGAGTGAGAAGACATTGAATGTATAGGCCTTTGGTTTCGGTTTTTTGACGCAGTGCAACGTGTTGTTCAGCATCAACTTATGTTTTGCCAGCACGACCTGCTAGCAGTGTATCAATTCGGTTTGCGTCGGCGATATAATGCATGTGGACTTCTTGCCCTGGCGTTGTTGTTTGGCTTGGCTGCCTCTGCCAGTCAGTCAGTTGTGCTCACTCAGCCAAGGAACTTGACAGCAAGTCATGGTCTTGTAGCGTACCCCACTGAATCAGTGGGTCCAGATAGCACCGAATGCAGCCCCTATACACCATTTCTTGACACGTAAGTAAATTCGAACCAATGACCTTTCCGATGAGACTCCAACCAACCAGGTATTCCGGGGAAAGATTTAGGAAAGAAGCCCCAATCAGTTCACCCATCAATTGATGCTATCTTCTTCCAAGCAACAAATCAAAGAGGACACAGGGTTGGGCCCACTGTTGGTTTAAACATGTCTGCAAACTGCTGTGTTTGTTTGCGTGTTTGAGGGGAACTTTGCCCAGTCATCGACCGAACGACCGAAGCGGCGGCAGGACCTGCGCCGTGGCAAGGTCTCTGCGCCCTTCGAGGTGTCAGTGGCCTCACGTCTGCCGCGGCTGCTGCGGATGGCCTCCCGTCGGGCGCGGCAGATGGCCAAGGCGACGCCGCGCGAACCGATGCGTTCCTTTTGGCCACGTAAGTGGTGCTACTTCCTGCTTTCCTGCTTCAATTTTGGATGAGTAAGGCCAAATGAACCTGTATGGTAGATGGGTTTGACTGGTTGGCCCATGTGGGCCGGTGGAACTCGGGGGCGGTTTCTGAGCAAAACTTGGAGTTCTTCTCGACCCTGCAAGGCGCCTTGGAGCGCCCAGCGTCGCTGGGCCCTTGGGCGCAGGCGCACCGCCGGAGTGCCGGCAAAGTGGGGAGGAAAAGTCAAGCGGCCGGCGCTGGAGCGGGCCAAAAGGGGGAGTTGGCGGGGTTGGAGTGGAAGGTGTATGGTAGGGGAGGGGATGTGAGGCTGTGTGTATGGCAACCAACCAGCCAGCATGAATGAGGACTTTCGCCGTGCCAGCTTGGCGAGCCAGTCCTCTCAGTAGTAGGATTGTCCAAAGCGTTACTGCACAGCAACGTCCAAGGCACCCGTAACATACAGTCCGGCAATCACGAGAGAGACATCTTGGTGGCTTCAAGGCTTTGCGCTCTCATGGGTGCTCGGCATACTCTCAAGCAGGGCTCCCGATGTTTCCCTTTTCGGCACCTTTTGCCACGATTGGATCCCCTTGTGAAAGGGAAAGGGGGATTTGAGCCCCATGAACGCCCAGGAAAGCTGGCTTCGAATTCCTGGGCCCCAGTGCAGTGGTGCCGCTTGGCCGAGTTTGGGGCCTGACGGTCTGACAGGGCAAGGCGTCCGACAGATATCGGGAGGTCCTATGAAACACGCAGCTACGTGCCAGAAAAAAAGCTGCCAGTTGGAGTGTCTGTCAACTGGCTGTGTGCAGCTGGTTTTGGTTCGGCCTCGTGCCATGGAAGATTTTGAAATGAACAGACACACTGTTTAATTTGCAAAAGCCCTTCACAGATTTGAGCGTAGCTTGTCCCAGAACCGAAAAAAAGAACCGCGAGCCGGAAACAGCAACTGCCTTAGTACATGTTGTTGACCACAAGCTAGATTTGACAAGCTCACACACCCCTCTTCAAGGCCAGTCCTTCCCCACTTGGTCACATGCACTGCGATTCAAGCCAGCATGCTCTTTTCACTTCCCCAAGAACCAATCGCATTTCAGCAGGTGTCGCTTGGTCCCTCTGCCTCTCACGTGAGCGAGCCCCTCTCGGTCGTTTCCTAAGGCATGGGAAGGAGCCGTGGTTCGAGCTCCAGGCACGCTCAGTGACAGGACACTTGACCCAAAACGTGCAGGGTTGGTTTAGGATGGGTTCAGTTGGTCTAGGGTTGGTTTGGTTGGCGATAGGGAAGCCAAAGGAAAGCTACCCGTTGTTTGTTTTGTTTTGTTTTGATGTTTTTTGCCGGGGGGGGGGGGGGGTTGAGAATTCTCGTGAGGCTGGGACGCCGGGAAGGCTTGCTGCTTGCTGTGAAGTCCCGTGTGCGTGTCAGCACGCATGCTATGCAGGTTGGATAGTGCACATGGGGTACCCTTTGCTTGAATTCCCAGTCGACTTCTGACCCACTTTCTAACTAATTAATAGTATGCTGGAGGAGGGCGATCTGGCACCAGCTTGCCGCCACCAGCTGAAATAGTGGCATGATGACAATACACATGAACGCGCGAGTCGAATTCAACCCGTTTCAACCCAACCTGCCCCACAGCATGCCCCAAACCCAACCTGCCCCACACAATACCCCAAACCCCCCTCCACCCCTCCCCCCCACCCTGCCAGGTTCGGGACCTGCAGCGAGCAGCGCAGGCGGAGCCTTTGGTCCAGTGCGACGCCTTCGCGGATTGCCCGGGCGCTGGGAACCAGGCGGCGGTGGTCTTCTCGCAGCGCAACGGCGACGAGACCTGGATGCAGAAGGCCCTGCTGGCCACTGAATGGGGGGGGGGGGTCGGAGAGGACGACGTGGGGGAAACGGTTGGGGCATCTGGGAGGGGAGGGGGGTGAAAAGCATTTAGTAGGTGGCAACTGGTGGCAACTATGGGGCACGGGAGGAAAAGTTGGGGAGGGGTCCACGGGGCGTTCGGCAAAGCAGCCGGGGCAAAAAACGTTGGGGGGCACCTGGGAATGGGGGACTTACGACTCATGATGTGGATGCAGAAGGCCAAAGATCTCTTTTGGCATTTTCGCAGCTTTGCTACAGCATTTGAGGGCACTGGTGGGGGAAGGTGGTTTCATGAAAAAGGCATCCCTGACACACTTGGGGGGGGGATTGCAAGCCAGAACAGCGGACAAGGGGAGACAGTTTCGGGTGTTCTGTTTGTTTGTTCTTGGGTCCAGGTGCCTATATGAAGTGTGTTGGCAGGTGAGATCTCGATCCTGGCTCCTGACTTTTCGCCTGCAGAGCATAGCGAGCAAGAATCAGTTTGCACATGGGCCCCCAATTGCCCACCCATTTCCTGGTCGAAAACTGGAACTATCTGGAACTGTCTGCCAACTGTACTCATTGGGATAGTCCAACTGAGTGTTTCTCACTAGGCCTCTTCAGCCCTTCAGGTGGCCGCAGAGAACAATTTGTCGGAGACGGCCTTCGTGGAGCTTCTCTCCCCGGGGGAGGCGGATGGACCCTGCCGCTTCTCCCTGCGTTGGTTCACCCCCACCACGGAGGTGGACCTTTGCGGGCATGCGACCTTGGCAACGGCGCACGCCCTCTGGAGCACCAACCGGGCGGCCAAGAAGCGGCGCATCGATTTTGAGACCAAGGCGGGTTGTGCAGGGCTGAAGGATGTGGAAGCGGTGATGCAACTCAATCCCCACTGATTTAGTCTCGGGGTTGACATCAGCACTTGCACCGATGTGGTTGTCCTTTGACAACTTTGTTTGGGGGCCGGTGCGGCATACTTCCAATGGGAGATGGCATCTTATAGACAACTGTTAGGGGTTGCCAAGATCCCTGCCTCGAGCCTTGTTCGAACTTCCTGGTTTTCCCGTGGCTTCCTGGGTTTAAGTTGAACCACTCATGATGGACGGCTACACCGAGAGGCCTCGGGAGTGCTTACCTGCAAGTTGTGTGACGGTTGGATCGAGATGGACTTCCCCGAAGACCCGCCGGCCATGGGCCCAGCAGCCGCGAAAACCTCCGCGGCAGTGCTGGCAAAGGCGCTCGGAGCCCAGGCGCTGGACAAAATGACATCCACCCTTTATGTCGTGAGCTTCCTCGCTTCCTAGCTCTCACGGTTTCCTTTTTCTGTTTCTCGTCTCTGTTGGTGAAGGCTGGTGAGGAATGGGTAAGGAATGGAAAGTAAATGAAGGAGACTCACCTTCTTACCAGCCAAGTCACTTCCGAAGGCTGGAAAGGAAGGTGGCTTTCCTCTTTCCTAATCCCTTCCCTTCACCATCCTCTGTCTCAGATAGGGATGAGGAACGAAGAGACGGAGAGTGTGATGTGTGGGAGGAAGCGCTCACATTCTATCGCTTTCATCACCACACATCCCCTCCCTTGAAACTCCCAAAAGGTCGCTTGAGACTTCAACATTTCTACATTCTGGTACTATACGTATAAGCCTCTTCAGGTTGTTGACCCCCAGCCTGGCCCAGCTCCCAGGAGGCGGACGTGTTGGCTTTGGGCCGCGGCAAGTTCGACGTGTTGTGCGAGCTGCGGCCCGAGGCCTTCGAGGCTTTGAAGCCGAACCAGGCGCTGCTGGCGGAGGTCGAGTGCCGCGGCGTGGCGGTCACCACCGCAGGAAGCGGCAAAGACGCGGAAAGGGCCGGAGGCCCCGGAACCGGCAAGAAGCTGTCCCTTGCCTGCGAATTGGTTGGGCCTTTAACTTCTTCTCTTCTGTTGTTTGCAATATGTTTTCTTATGTTTTGCGTTCCTCGATATGTTTGTTGCTTCCCATGCTTCACTTACCAGCCAATTGGTTGACTTTTTCGGCAGGGGGCAAGAGCTACCAAGGTCCATCGATTTCAGGAGTCGGTTCTTTGCGCCCCGCGCGGGTCTGCCAGAAGATCCAGTTACCGGCTCGGCACACTGCATGCTCGCGCCCTACTGGGCAAAGCGCTTGGGCCGAGCGGATGGCGAAGTAGTTGGCTTCCAGGCATCTGCCCGCGGAGGCGTTGTGAAATGTCGCCTCGCTGCAGGGCGCGTCGCTCTGGCGGGACCTGCGACCACCACCCTTGAGGGGATGCTTTATTGTGGCTGAACTGGGTGAGCCGCGCCAAGTCAATGAAATTCGGTAGGCCTTGCTTGATTATGAGCAGCCGAGTGCCGACTCGTTGCCGGATGCGCGTGCCATCATCAGTTGCGCCTGTTACAAGAAACGACCGCTGCCGGCAGTTCCAAGCTCGGAAAGGCTGTTTGCCGTTTTTGTTGCTTGGAGGGAGCAGGCCATGGTTGGATGGCCGCGAGGATAAATGACAAAACAACCGGCACTGGATGGCCGCGATAGCTGATTGCCAAGCAATCAAGAGTGGACACGTGTGACTGCCGTCATGTTGTTTGTTGGCGCGGATGCTCAGAACCCTTGGCATTCACACTCAATAGCCATATAACCTGACACCCAAGTTGGCCTTCACTTGGCCTGACTTTTTTGCCTGGATATTTGGGTTGGGGCAAATAAAGGCGGTCGCTAGTCCCTCAAAGGAGTCTCTGCTGAAGGTTTCTTTTGCAGAGCTGCCCTGGCCCACGCAGGCACTGGGGCACGACATGGTGGAGACCTTCATCACGGCCACTTGGCTGATCTGGAAGGGAGGGGAAATGTCGCGCGACATCACCCAAGTCGTGAAACCACCAGCCCGCAGTCAAGCTTCGGTTTTGGGGAGGATTCGCTGGACATCCGATGGTTTCGATCTGGATTTATTAGGGTTAGACCAACGTTCTTTGGTGGGCGCATGCAGTATCCTCTCATGTTTATTCATTTTTCGTTGCTCAATTTGGCACCTTGTTGCTGGTGAAGCAGTGTAGCAGCAACCTCTTCTTTGCAACATGTTGATGGACCACATGTTGCACCAATTGCAGGTCACTGCTGTACCAGTAGCTTCCAGAAAGACCGCGTTCCTTTGTTGCCCTTGAAACATCTCCGAAATCTCAGGGGGTGAGTGGCATGTAGTGGCCCATGCTTTCCGCAGTGTCCGCCGGCTGGGGGTTTCCGCCTCACTGCGCAGGAGAGTTACCGGAGTGAAGCTGCCAGAGTGCTGCAGGAGGCCCTCGAAGGCGGGAATAGCCCATAGTTTGATGTAAGAACATCGAGAGGAAACCAAGCGGAAATGAGTAACCTGTCAATTTATCTAGGCCCCTATCATGCACCAGTACTTGTCGTCTTAGTTTATTCCCCCTGAGTTTCTTAGCAGCAAATCCCCTATGTGCTTGCTGGCCCTTCTAGGAAATCCCCGTGCCTAGCTCTTAGAACCTCGTTGTTGCCAGTTGCCACCAATAGTCGCTTGTTTCGCCCGGCCCGAGGGCTTCTTTTTCAAGGCGGCCGGCTATAGTTGAAATCTGTCAGGCCGCGCTGCCGAGAACATCGAGGCACTCCTCTCTGCCAAGGCGCATGGAGCCAGGTGGCATCCACAATCTGGGGGGAAGCTTTCTGGAACCCTAGCCCACTCCGAAACCCCCCTGAGCTGGGCAGAGACATGCAGAGACCCCAGAGCTTTCAGCAGGAAAGATCACAGGCATGCCGGGCCCTTGCAAGTGCAGCACCCTTTGAGATTGAAAGCATTTGACCACAAAGGGACATGCAATATGTAAGGGGTTGGAAGTCTTTTTGGCTGCATGCTGTGATCTCTTAGGGCAATGGCACAATTGCATGCCATCCTCGGCCAAATGCCCTGCGCTTCATCACTTTGAGCTTCAGGATGGAGGCTGCCGGTACATCCTTCTTAACGCCCGGAGCCCAGAGAGATTCCACAACTGGTTGGACTCAAGGGCAAATGTTGCTGTGAGGTTCTTAAAAGACAGGAAGCAGCTCAACCCCGACAGCGTATTTATTCAAGGGTTGGCATTTCATTGTTCATTGTCCCACTTAACTCACTTTTTTCGGGCCTGCTAGCAGATGTGTTAATGAAAGGCATTTGTCAAAGAGAGGCACTGGTTCTGAAAATAGTTCCCCTGCCTTATGATGCGTCGGGGTTTAGAACAATTCGTTGGCTGGATTGGTGAAGTCCAAATTGTTCAGAAGGTTTCGCGGTTTCCCATCATTTCCGATCTTTTTTTTTGTTTTACCCAAGTAGTATCTGAGAACTCTGCCGCTGGCGGGGGGAATCCAAAGTTGAGAAGCCATAGGGCAAACCATCCACAAAATCGAGACAAACCCAATTGGGTGCTTCTCAAAATTGGAACCCCAAACACGATGTGTGCTTCTGTTCGGAGTTTCCCTTTACCGCTATCCAAAGGGGGAAGCTCCCATTTTGAGAAGCCACCCAGCGGAACTCCCCACATGAATATATATATATATATGTATGTATATTTCTAGATATGTCTTTATAAATGTACAGAAGGATATGTTTATACATATATCTACATATAGTAGGGAGAGAGACATACATATGCATGTGTGCGTGTGTGTGTGTGTGTCCTTTTTTGAGGTACCCTTTTTTGGAAGATTCGCAGTTCAAAAGGGAACCCACCAGGAAATCACTCCACTTTTTTGGGGCTCTCCTTGGAGACAAAACCATACCTCCCATGCGTGTCGCAGGCGACCACCCGGATCGGCAAGGAGGGCGCCATCCAGGGCGTGATTTGTGTCGGCCAGGCGGGGAACCTGTCTCGGCCGCGACGGCCGATGCCGAGGCGGCAGAAAAGGGGCAGGGGAGGGGGATGGCTTCATGGGCATTTTGGGGGGGAGTGGGGGGGGTCAAGAGAAGATGTGGACATGTCTGGAAAGATTCGGTTCCCGAAAAAGTGGATTCCTTTCGGTTTTCCTTGAAATGCCGAAAAAGGATGGGTTCGGTTTTCTTTGGGTTTTCCTTGAAATACCCAAAAAGGATGGGTTCCTTGTTCTTTTCGTTGTGATTGAAATACAACGGATTGCTTCCTTTTTCTGTTGGTCTTCCTTGAAGTACCGAAAAAGGATGGGTTCCTTTTGGTTTGCCTTGAAAATTACCAACACTGGAAGGGGTCATTTACTTGGAGGCTCGGTACCCTTTTGTTGCTTTCGTTTCAGGGGAAATCAAACAGAAACCAACCATTGCTTGGGATCGCCAGAATGAACATCGTCCTGTCATCAGCTCAAGTGCAATGATTCTCCAAATGATGGAGGCCTTTTACTTTTAGTTGGTGTTTTGTGGGAAATCAAAAGGAAGCCGAGCATTGGTGAACGATTCCTATTTTGAGAACCCAAGGTGTCCGCATCCAATCCTGACAGGACATCACCGCGCACCGAGAGCTCCTTCACCAGCTTCTTGGCTCACAGGTTCCGAATGCGCAAGATCCTTATGTCAGATGGCAATGGTGTTTCTGCCGTTCCCACCACGGATAAATGGGGTCCGCCCGTTGTTTGAACAGACCCTCCCTCGTAGTGGTATCCCACTTGTATGGATTAGCAGGATTGCCCCCCTTTTGAAGAGCCCGAAGGAAGAACTTTGAGCATGGCTGGCAATGTTGTATCTCAAGACTATGAACTGGTATGGCTGATGCAGGGGGTGCTTGCAAGATGATACGTCATGTGCTGATGCATGCTTTAGATTAACATCAGCATGCTCAATTCAGCGCACAAACAGTTCCCGACTTGCACCATGAACCAGTGTTATTCTTCGGCCCGTGGAGTCTGAGGACGAGCCACGCAGTCCTTTGAAGTGGTTGGTGTCAAGTGTCCTTGCTGAAGCTGTTTCCGAGAATTCGCAGATTGGTTGCCAGGTGCCAGCAGCTACAGTTCTTCTGATAAAGTCAACCAGCCTCAGGTTATTGAGGCTAGTTTGCAGGGATCACACTTTCTTGCTCTTTGATTTGACTGCCACCCAGTTGAACTTTCGGAGCACTACTTGTTTCCCATCGACCAGCAGACGCGGGCACATTTGGCAGGGGTCGGGTACAAACTACAAACCGTGGTGTTTTCAAGGGTCCGATTAGGAAAGGGGTAGCCCGAGCAGACTATTTTGCGAGTTGGGCCTGAACAGGAGTCAGGACCAAAGGTGTGCAGGCCAGTCAGGCAAATCTTCGTGCTTGGATTCAGCTCCAGTTCCTTGATACATGGTGCCAGTGCATCGTTCAGGCCCTGGATTTGATAAATTTCCACAGCCCTGGCTTTGTGCTTCCCAACACGCGGTGTTTGGCTCGCAGGCACGAGCTGGTGGCAGACGACCTCCGCAGCCTCATCCAGACCGCCAATGCCCCCATCTTTGGGGTGGATGCCAAAGGCCAGCCTGAGGGCCGAATTACACGCCGCAAAGCTCTCAACGGTTTTCATGGTTGCTCAGTTAGTTGCCGCCTGCGCATGCAAGTTGCAGGAATCTACTTGTCTCGAACTTGTTCGGACGATGAAGCTTGCGCGTTGCTTGAGCCCAAGTTTTGCTTGGGTTTGCATATTAGTTTGCGGACACGCGCGGAGCAACGTGTGTTCGTCGGCGTGCTTGTGTGTGTGTGTGTGCGTTTCGGGTGGCGGCGGTGGAGAGTCTGAACGGGCTGCTGGCAAGGCACTGGTTGCTTGTGGGCCCATGGTGCCACGGGGCGATTGCGCCCGAGATGAGGAAGCCCCAACAACTTCGCCTCAAGGACATGTATCCGGGTGGACTAGGGGCTAAAACTGTAAAACGAAGGCGACCAGAAGAAGCGAAGCGCGCAACAAGGAAGGGGGAAATCCCTGTGAAACGAAGGCGGCCCTTTAGAAAGAAGCCTCCAGAGACATTCCATGTTTTCACCTTTCAATTCTGGAGATAGCCCGTATGTTGCTGAAACCAAGCCTCTGGGAAACATGGTCACAGGGGCTGACTTGCTGAGAGTTGGTGGCCCACTGAGAATCTTGCTGAGCAATTGCGAGTCGCGCGAACCAGGCCATCAGCAGACTTGCTTGTGTGGGTGCGTATATACGTGTGTGTGTGTGTGGTGTGTGTGTGTGTGTGGTGTGTGTGGTGTGTGTGGTGTGTGTGGTGTGTGTGGTGTGTGTGGTGTGTGTGGTGTGTGTGGTGTGTGTGGTGTGTGTGGTGTGTGTGGTGTGTGTGGTGTGTGTGGTGTGTGTGGTGTGTGTGGTGTGTGTGGTGTGTGTGGTGT